TAGAAACTTCAGAATCTTAGCTAAAGATCCATATCAATGAAAATTGTCTAAAAAATTTCTTTTACCCTCAAAATGACCAAAATAGTTGGCAAACTCTCAAAAAAATGTGATTTTTTTTTATATTTTAGCGATTTTAAGGGTGAAGGAAAATTTTTCAAACAATTTCTCAGGGATATGCATGTTTAGCTCAGACTTTTAGGTTTCTAAAACGTCCCTGAAAATGGTCATTGGACCGTCCGTTCATGAGTTATAGGGGTTTAAAGTCAGGGGGATGATTGTTAGTAATTTGTATCCAGTTTTACCCCTGTTTGAGTGTGTTAAAGTGAGTTTTCCCGGGCGGTGCCCGGATTCCGCATTTCTACGCTTCAAGACGAAGAGAATGAGTGGTCAAACTTGAAAATCGGAGTACTTTTATTTTTTGGCCAAAAAAAATGGAAAGGGGTACCACTTGCCATTTTTTTGGGTCGAAAAATCAAAGTTGTCTGATTTTAATGATCGACCACTCATTCTCTTCGTCTTAATGCGTAGAAATGCGGAATCGGGTCAAACTTATAAAAAATTCATTATTTCACTCCTAAAATAGGGTAAAACGGGAACTTGCTTCAATTTTTGCATGAATTTCGCGACAATTATGATTTGCACTATATCGACTCTTTCCCTCTCATCAAGATCTTTCAAATGAGCCCTCAATCAACCCCATACCACTATTAGCATAAAAGTTATGCACATTTTCAGGTCTTACAGTTTCTCACTAATATATCATTATTTCATCAATTTTATTATGTAAAAATTTGTTTATACCGAAAGCTATACTCTTTACCGTCTCTTGTTGAGAATAAGAGAACTTTATATAGATCATAATCGTTTAAAAAGTGACTATATTTTCTTAAAAAACATTGAGCATTTCTCGAAAATTAGGCCATTTTTTTAAAAACTCAACACTTCTATTTAAATTACCCCTAAAAAATACGACAGCTTTTAATTATTTGAAATAGCTCACTCCTTTGAAAGCAAATTTTCTGAATAGAGCTTTATTTTTACAAGCACATTCAGCTTTGATAGTTGACTTCGTCTAATTTTCTTTCATCCTGTAATACTCACCCTTTCCAAGCATTGACAAAAAACCTTTACTTTTTAATTACTCGTGGAATTTTTAAAAAATGAATTATTCAACTGAAAAAGTGATGACAATGTAAAAAGAGAGTGATGACGTGACAAAGTAAACATTTCTACATACACAGATCTCTTTTCCACAGTATGATAAATTGCCAAACCACATGGAATAGACGATGAGAAATCGATCAAGTGCTTTACGAAGGTCTTCCTCTTCATGTAAGATCAAGCCATGATTTCTTATTTCGGTACTCGACAAACGTAACACGAAAGCCTTAGTAAATCCCATCACGTCTCTCTTTAAAGTGCTATCGTCTGCTAGAAACGTTAGCAGATTTTCCACCGACTTAAAAAGACCATCTATTTGTTTGTTTTTCTTTTTACTTTTTTTTATTACACATAAAGCAAAAAATAAATCACGGTTTATTTTTTTTAACGAATTGACTTCAAATATTAGTGAGAAAAAATAAAATCAACTCTTTAACGTTTTTTCAAATTGTTTTTATACTGAGAAAAGTAGGAGTGAAGTAAAAAGAAGAATATTCAGCAAAGAGTAACATCCTTTTATAAGTAGAAAATTTTTCAAATAATTCTTTTCTGAAGAATAAAAATTATTCACCAATGATTGAAAAGCAAGAATGAGGTATTTTATGTGACATTTAAATAAATAATTAAATCGCAAAAGTATTTCGTAGCGATGACTTTATTATTTATCACTAGAATGTCACGTATACAAACGTGTTTCGAATTTTATATCCTAGGAACTATTCAATATTTAATCAGTTTACAGTATTATTATTGGATTTTTTATTGCACTAAGATCTTTTTTGCAATTTAACAAAAAAATAAAATCTAAATAAAACCTACTATTCTATAAAACTTAATCAGAAACTATTGAACTTTTTTTTAATAATTTCGATGAAAATAAAAATAAAATAATAGCAATTAAATTACTCAGATACATGAAAAAAAAATCAAATTAAACCTTCAAGTAATATCCACATGAGAGTTTATTAATTAATAACAGTTTTTGACATCAAGGTGTGAATCACTAATGGATGTAACAAAATTAATTAGCTTTGATTACACAGGTAACCACAATTTTAAGCTTCAACTCATCATGTAGAGTTAATTCGAATAATATGTCTACAGATACATTACAAAATGTCCAAGTGAGCAAAAACATCTCTAAGCATGTAACATGAACTTTTATGAGTCCAATCTGCATGTGGATAATCAAAAAACATCATCCATTTAAATGAAATCTCCAAGGTTCATATGATGTATAATTTAGCTTTCATGAGTTTGAAAAGAAAAAAGATATAGGAAATTCATTGAAATATTTAATGAGATTTCTTTATTGTTCACTTTTGCATACTTTTTTCTATATAAAAAAGCATTCTTTTTGTTTATTCTTTTTTTTTTTTTGGTAATACTTGAGAAATATTTGCATTTATATTAGTGCCAGTACGTTAGTAATATTACATTATACCATTTTCTTCTTCCAAACCCATATTCCAAGTAACTTTGTTATAAGATGCACCACATTACCTCTTGTGAGTCTTGATAACGACGAAAAATAAGCTGTGACACAAGTTTTTTCAACAAATGTTAAATTATTTTTAGAATGAAAATACTTCCTCCAGACTTGATGTTTCTTTATTTTTAATTCCTTCTTCTCATAGCTTTTCTTCAATTCTTTTGCTTTTTAAGAAAGAAGAAATTCCAACTTTAACCTGACATAGTTCATACCAAACATTCAAATGAAAGGTTTTAAAATGAGAACAGCAGAGAAAAGGGTATGAGAGATTAGATATTTCCTGAAAAAAATGGAGAGAAGTGAAGAGAATCCATTAGGAGACTATGAGAAATAAAAAAACGTGGAGATTCTATAGCAAAATGTTCAACAAAACACCAAGGATTTGATTTATTATACATATTATAAACTTTGTGCATACTAAGTATATTCCAAGCAAGCTTTTATTGAATGAACTCATTATTATGTACTGTTCATATGCAAGTCCGCTGGGAAGCTTCCGGAATCACTGAGATTCTGATATTGCATACAAATCAGAAGGCTTTTGAAAGATGGAAAGTTAGATGGTCAGTTGCAATTAAGTATCAAGAGCAGACAAATAGAAACTTCCTCCAACAGTTCACATTGCTAATGAAGTTGGAATTATTGAAGATTCAATTGTCCAAGGGATGACAAGTACTTTGATTTTCATGCAAAATTGAACAATTATTATTAAAATATTTAAATGATTGAAAATGTTTTGATACAGTGATAAATGGTTGGAATAAAAATTCTAAAATGTTGAATGAGGTCAGACTATTTGAGATCAGTGAAATAAAATTTTTTCCACGTAAAAACGACCAATTAAAAGTTAACGAAACACGCTGAATGATAGAGAGAAGAGAGGAACAAAGAGCTAGCTTTAATTCAGATGGAGAGAAAGATCTATTTGACAAGCCTACCATTCCTCACTCCAAAAGTTTGAATTTCAAATGCTTTTTTAATCTGTTGTAGAAGCTGAAGTTCACTGATTTAAATTGCATGCAAAATGCTATAGTATAATGATTTGAATTCAGAAGTGGATACACAGATACTTGATCAACAAAAATAATTGTTGAATATAAATTGATTTTACATACTAAGTTATTATTTACAATTTTCAAAATAATTTCATTATTCATGATAAAATAATTTACACATTTTAATTTATAGATTCTGTAATAAAAATTGGAATTCAATTGACTGAAAGATTTGATCTTCCAGCTAGATCTCCAACTTATTGTTACTTCATGATATTGATCCATATTGCAAAGTAGATGAAAATATGACTTAATGAATTATTGATAATTTTAGAACAAATTTGATAAACTAAATGAGTAATTGATTGATAGTTAAATGTTTCCTTTTTGTTAATTAAAAAATGAATAGTTCATGAAACTAAAGAATATCAAACATTCTTGCTTAGCAAGAGAAGAATGACGTAGAGAAGAGCAAAAATTAAATTAATAGAAGTTCGGAATTTCGTAATTACATTAATGTATGTTCTAATTTTCTCTCCAAGTTAAATTATCCTCAAAATCACTCTATTGACCAAGATTTCAGATAACCACAATTCTTCAATGCATTAAACTTTTGTGATCACAACAATGAAAACAAATTGAGCAATTTTAAAATTGTAAATTTACTGAAGCAGAAATTCATTCATCAAAATTGATATTTTATGATGGTCACAGTGTAACTATGACACGAATGAGATGATATGATAAATGAATCAGTGATATGTGACATGGAAAAAATGACCATTTCAAAACTAGAGGTAAATGTCGAGAAAAAAAATAAAAACAATTGATTTTTTTTTATCACAAAACTTTAATCAAATTTTAATCAATAAATGACTATACATGCAATGCATGCAAGTATAAATACTTAAATAAAATTGGAACAATGAAAAATATTCTGTAAAAAAAGTTCATCTGTTAATATTGACTGAGCATCAATGGCCACTGGCTGATAGTATTCACATTATTGCTAATTTTATCTACATAATAAAAAAGAATTGGATTATTTTATTATTAAACAATAAATGACTGACTGAAATTAATAGAATAGTAAGAATAGTTGATGAATAATAATTCAGGTTATTAAAATGTTTAAAATTGAATTAGATATTTTTTTAGTCATATTTTTGAAAATGCCAAATATGTATTCAGTGTGACTGTAAGAGTCTTCAAATAATTATCATCAATTTTAAGATAAGATAAACAAAGAAATAAGTAAATACTCATTCTAATTACGCATTACCCTTTCCTTTAATGGAAGCTAAAAAAATGCAACATGGTAGTAAATAATTAATAATAAAATAATCAATTATTCACTGCATGTCTTTTGCACTTATGTTGAAGTTATATTAAAAGATATAAACTGTGGTTCTGCCTTGAATTTTTGTAACGCTGGTATAGATAGTGTTATGAAACATTCCAGTAGAGAGGGGAACTTTCATGACACTCGAGCTCGTACAATCCTCAGTTGATATAAAATTACAGTCAGCTGTTGACGCTTAAGTGCTTATAACAAAGTGGTATTATCAATTAACAAGTTAACAAGTGTTTGTATATATCAATGGCGGATCCAGTAATTCAAGTTCAACAAGGTCAGCTACGTGGAATTTGGGAGAATAATATTTATGGTGTAAAATTTGTAGCCTTCAGAGGAATTCCTTATGCTAAGCCACCAGTTGGAGATCTACGATTCAAGGTACAGTCTCGAGCGAAAAGGATGCAAGACTCTTTGTAAAATCAATATTTAATCTATCAAGTATCTCTAATACTAAGTGAATCACGTAATTGACGTGACTTGTATTTTTATATTAAATTATAATTATAAATGATTAATATTGATTATTAATTATTGATCACATTGTTCCTCTTCTCTTCTCAATGACAACAATTAGGATCCTGAACCTGTAGAACCATGGTCTGGTATCAAAGATGCTACCAAGTTTGGAAATAAATGTATGCAGAGAGACTGGATAACTAAAGAAATCATTGGAAAAGAAGATGGCCTTTATTTGAATGTTTACACGTCTGATTTGAATCCATCGGCTCCAAGAGCTGTTATGGTTTGGATCCATGGAGGAGGATTCATTTTTGGGAGTGGTGATGATGATTTTTATGGGCCAGATTACTTTATTGAGAGAGATGTCGTGCTAGTAACAATCAATTATAGAGTTGGTGTTCTTGGTAAGATGAAACATAATAATTATAGTTATTAAGAAATAATCAACAAAAAAATCCTTGATAAAAACATAGATGATATGAAATCTGCAACAATTGTATTGCATTTATTTATAGAACAGATACAACAAAAATCAGAAGTTTATTGCTATAATAAATGTTTAAAAGAAAATAAAGATCATTCACTTATCTACAATAATATTTTAAAGATTAAATTGATCAAAACAAAATGACTTTTCATTGATAAGAGCTAAAATAGTAATTATTTTAGATAAAAGGTGACAAATAAAATCATTTTCTCTTATCGTTTTACAACGTTTATTTATTTAAATAATTGATAGTAATTAACGTTACATTAGAATCCAACATGTCTCGTAATGCAAACATTTTTTGTAAATAATGTTACTCCATCAATATTGACATAGCTAATAGCTAAATTGCTTTTGAAGGATTTCTGAATGCTGATGATGAAGAAGCACCGGGTAATCAAGGTTTGAAGGATCAGGTTTTAGCATTAAAATGGGTACAACAGAATATCTCAAGATTTGGTGGTGATCCTCACAATGTAACGATTTTTGGCGAAAGTGCGGGTGGAGCTTCCGTTCATTATTTAACCATCTCACCATTAGCTCAAGGTTGGTGAATTTTTAAACAACAAGTCTAGACAGAATTGAGAATTATCTGACTCAAAATTTTCAGGATTATTCCATAAGGCAATTTTGCAAAGCGGAGTAGCAATAAATCCCTGGGCATCTTCTGCATGTTCTCCAAAAGAGACAGCTTTTAAATTGTCTTCTATTCTAGGAAATGAGATTACAGATCCTAAAAAACTTGTCAAGTTCTTGAAAACAGTTGATGCTCATCAATTGATAGATGCTGAGAAATCTCTTCAAACATGGCAGGTGAGTGTTTCACTAATCTTATTTTTATTTCTTGTTCAATATGTATTTATCAATTAATTATTTATTTATTTATTTATTAAAAATTTTAATACAGGATAAATGGTTATTCATTTGGCCATTTGGACCATCAGTGGACGAAAAATCGAAAAATCCTTTCCTTTCTGTTCCTGTTCAAGATGCAGCTAAATCAGGAATTAAAGTTCCATGCATTTTGGGATATACAGATTCCGAAGGAATCTTGGCACTCGCTGGTATGATTGATAATATTGTTTAGTTTTATATTTTATTGAATATCAAAGAAGAAGAATCAATGAATTCTTTATATCGTTATTGATTCATTTATTTCTATCTCCAACATGGTTACTTTTAATTTTAAAATAAAATTCTTTTCTAGAGGTAAATAAAGATAAATTTGCGGATCTGGAAGCAAATCAAGAAAATCTCCTATTTCATCCTACAATGAAGAAGATGTTGAAAGAAAAAAATATCACAGTGGATCAGTTTAAAAAACTCTTCATGGGAGATGTAAAAATCGCACCAGAAAATGCCCAGAATATGGTAGATTTACTGAGTGCAGTGCATTTCATTATTGGAATTCATCAGACGCTTCAGATTCAAAATCGCATCTCTCACGTTCCAGCGTATCTATATAAATTTGAATATGAAAGTCCGAAGTCTTTGATGAACCATTTTTTACAAGTTGATTTAAAAGGTTTGTACTATTATTGCATTATAAAAACATTAGAATAATATAATATAATTATTCTAGGTACATGCCATGGTGAAGAAATACAATATATGTTTTATCCACACTTACTTAAAACATTCGGAATGCCACAACCAACTTTAGGTTCCACTGAATCTCTGATTACACACAGATTCATTGAATTATGGACCAACTTTGCTAAAACTGGGTATGTATCTTGTTAGTTTACCATGTAAAAATTGATGATTAAAGTTTAAATAGTTCATGACTTCATTATTTTTTGCTTATTTCAGAAATCCAACACCTACACCCTCAGAAATAACTCCAATAGATTGGAAACCAATAAATGATTCCATTGAGTACAATTGTCTGAAAATTTCAGAGGATGTCAGCATCATTAAGGAAACGAATATTATGCACGAAATCGAGATGAAAATGAAAAAGAATAAGCTATAAATCACAACAATTTTATATTGTTAACATTTGTTAAATAAACAAGACAAAATTTTGTAAAAATCTGTAGATTTATTCTTTTATTAATTTAAGTTACTTATGTAATTAAAAATTATTCCTACCTTACTGACAGATTAACCGTTTACTTGTCGAACATAAAACCAAAAAAGAAAAAGATAAACAGCTACACCTGAAAGGTCAACGAACGAGTTATAAATATAGGAGATAATTAAAGAGATATATATATCATCTGATCACCCAACCTAGTTTAATTTTGATTTTTATTCGCAAAAATGGCAAAAAAATACTTATAACTGATATTTTACTTGCAAATTTTCATATTTTATATATTCATTGTAAACAATTACATATTGGAATGCATAAATATTCAAAATTTCTCCCAGGAATATGTCTATATGCATATAAATATAATATAGAGTTGGTAATTCATTTTCACAAATATGAACAACAGTCAATAGAATCCAATAATAATTCAGTCACACAGATAGATTATTCATTGATTGTAATGTTGAATATTTTATCGTCGCAATCTGTATAAATAAAATCAGAGTATTTGTCTGCCTGACTGGACCAATTTCAATTGAACTTCATAGACATAAACAGAAGGCTACTAGAAATGACCTACGACATATTTTTTGTAAAGTTCATTTTTTAAAACAAGTTTAATTATAAACAATTAAAAATGGTTCTTTTATCTTCATAGAAATAAAAGGTAAGACTAAATTAAATGAATATTCAGAAAATTCTTCGCTGACTTCAAATATAAAGACACAATTTTTTAATTGACAGATAGTCCACTAATAACACAACAATTTCTTATACATCGAAATAAATTGAGCGTAAAAATTACATAAACTTTTGTATTGAGAATCACGAATGGATTTGTTTTGTTTCTGAAGGATTCAATGTTACGGTTGACAAGGCTCGATGTATTGATAGACAACAAAGTGGAGGAACTAGTCATTATTTAATGACGTATAACACTATATAGCTGACAGTTTACATAAGATCACAGCAATTGCTTATTATAAAACTTATGCTAAAACCAGTCAGGAAACGTGCGACTATTCTGCTACAATGCAAGATCCAATTATCAAAGTTCAACAGGGCCAATTGCGTGGAACTTGGGAAAGCAGTTTTTACGGAGTACAATATGTGGCATTCAAAGGAGTACCTTATGCTAAACCACCAATTGGAAATCTGCGGTTTAAGGCAAGATAATAATTGTAAATTATACGTCATGTTTAGTGATAAAAAGTTAACTTTACTGCTTTTGATTGTAATTATTAAATTACATGTTATGATAGCTAAAAAAAATATTGAAATAGAGCCTTAACTCATTTTAAATGTTATTTCTTCTTTATTAGGACCCTGAACCAGTAGAACCATGGTCTGGTATCAGAGATGCGACTAAATTTGGATATTCAAGTCCTCAGAATAATGTAATGCTTAAAGCCGAAAGCGAGGATTGTCTCTTTTTAAATATTTATACTTCAAATTTAAATCTTTCTGTCGCAAAACCAGTCATGGTTTGGATACATGGAGGAGCTTTTTATCTTGGTTCTGGTGATGATTCACTTTATGGCCCAGACTATTTAATTCATAAAGAAATTGTATTAGTTACAATAAATTATCGACTTGGAGTTCTTGGTATGATTTTTTATTTCTCCTTTAAATAAAGAAACATCGTTAAATTATAATGATGTTTTACTAAGTAGGATTTCTAAATGTTGATGATGAAGAGGCACCGGGTAATCAAGGTTTAAAGGATCAGGTTTTAGCATTAAAATGGGTACAACAGAATATCTCGAGATTTGGTGGTGATCCTCACAATGTAACGATTTTTGGCGAAAGTGCAGGAGCTGCTTCTGTTCATTATTTAACCATCTCACCACTAGCTCAAGGTTAATGAAGCTTGAATTAATATATGCCAAACTGTAGCTTCATATGAACAGTAGAAGTTGTTCTAATTAAAATTGATTTTCAGGATTATTTAATAAAGCAATAATGCAAAGTGGTGTTGCAGTAAATCCTTGGGCTGCTTATCCATACTCTCCTAAAGAAGCTGCTCTAAAATTTGCATCTCTTTTAGGAAGTCAAATTACTGATTCCAAAGAGATAGTAAAGTTCTTAAGAACAATTGATCTTCAACGACTACTAGAGGTAGAGAATTCACTTCGACAATGGCCGGTATGAGATTTTTTATCAATCTTCATTTTTTAATAGCTACAGTTTATTTATTTTTATTTATTACATATGTACAGAATAGTTTTTTCTTTCTACCACCATTCGGACCAACTGTCGATAATAAATCAAAAAATCCTTTTCTTCCTGTACCTATTCGAGAAGCTATCAAACAAGGAGTTCAAGTTCCCTGTATTTTTGGTTACACCAGTCGAGAAGGAGTTGTTTTTATGAGAGGTAATATTGATTCCAATTCTCTTTTATTTGATACAAGAATTATTTCTGAAAAATGAAAACCTTCTGCTTTCAGAATTTGAAGAAAGATGTCACGAAATTGATATAGATCCAGAAAATTTATTAATACATCCTAGCACGAAAAAAATATTGGAAGAAAAGAATATAACTGTGAATGATATGAGAAGAATGTACCTAGCAGATAAAAAAATCGATATTAACTCTGCTGAAGAGGTAGCAGACTTATTAAGTGCAACGCAAATTATTATTGGAATTCATCAAATACTTATGATTCAAGCTCAATTCCCAAATATTCCAGCGTACTTATACAAGTTTGACTATGAAATTGAAGTACCACTGATGCAGAAACTACTAGGACTAAATATGAAAGGTAGATGTTGATTACAGATTATTTAACTATAATAGAATTTTCTTTTCATTTGGAATTAATTGAAACTTGTCTTTATTTGAATTAGGCACTTGCCATGGTGAAGATATAGCATTCTTATTCCTTCCTAAAATCTTTGAGATGATTGGAAAAGTACCACCACCTCAAGATTCTACCGAATATTTCGTAATTCAAAGATTTATCGAACTATGGACCAACTTCGCTAAAATTGGGTATGAATTTCCTTACTCTATCGTCGAGAAATTTCACATCGCGGTTTCACTTGATTACTCTATATTTGCTTTAGAAACCCAACACCTCTAACTTCAAAATTAATTCCAATTGATTGGAAACCAATTAATAATCCTATCGAGTACAGTTGTCTAAATATTTCTGAGGATCTCAGTATGATCAAAGAGAAAAACATTTTACTACAAATCGAACAGAATATTGCAAGTAAGCTTTGATCAAATTATATAATTAATAAATAATGAATTTTTCCGAAAATTTCATTATTTAAATCACTGGCTCTAATAGCTTTGAAAAGTTTAGTAAATATATGTAGTTGTTATGTTCTATTTAATGCATTCTATTAACTAGTTTTTGATGTTTTAAAATTTTTGGGTTACATTAATCATTAAATATCTATTGAAAAATATCATTAATAAACATGTAATTGTTTTATCTTATTGTTCCATCAACTGCTATAAGTGATTTATTATCATGAACAACGAAAACTGTTTTCAATCCATTATCTTGAACAAAATAACATAAATAAACCATGTAAAAATTTTTTTTTCTAAATAAAATTAATACCTACTGATTACTTTGATATTTCTCTAATTAGTTAAGTATTGAGAACATGAATTTAAGTGATTTTTTTAAAACTCATTTTTTAGAGAGCATTTATCATTAATGTGCTCCATAAACACATATAGATTAATCGGAAGATATTACAACAATTAAAATACAATTACATCATAATTTACTGTACACAATTCGAACTTTTATGATGTCACTCATTTATATTAAAAATAATCTCATTTAGTATTTTTTGATTCTGGTTAGTCAAAATGCCACTGTAAAACATATAACATCATATCTTTGGTGAAAGCGTTTAATTTATTAAAAGATAAATTTATAACAAGTAGCAATTTTTCTTCTTGAAACAAGTGTCTCAATTAAAATACAATTAACATAAATCAGTAGAGGTGAATAAATAATGATACAGTGCTAAATTATCAAAAAATCAACAAATATTTATTTGAAATATTTTATATTTGTGGCTAACAACAAGTGTTAAGTTTTAGTTGTCTGATTTGTTTATTCTTCTTTGACTTCTACTACTAAGTCTGATCAATGATGGAGTTTTCACCATACCTTGATGCTATTCAACAACTGGCAGGAAAAACATATAGTGAAAAACTTGAAAGTATAAACCGAATTGCAGAAAATATAATCGAGCATTGTGAGACTTCTAACAGTCCCATTGACATTCATCAATTTAAAGAAATCCCTGAAGTTCTGATACCTTTTATACAACTGAGACTTGGAGAAATTTTTAAAAGACCTGAGGTAATTTTGGACGCTTTAAAATCAGATGATCCAGTACTATTTGCTGCAGCTCTAAAAATTCAATGGTTCTTTGATGGCTCTGTGGAAAATTATCCAAATGTTTACGATTTTCAACATCATGTTTTTCCTTTTGTATCTGTAGGTAATCGATACAAAATAATTAAAACATTAGCTGCGAATTTACCACCGGATTATTCAAAAATTTCTGAAGAATTTTATTTGACTATAATGGAGATGTATGATAAACTAGAAGCTCAACCGCTTTTACTAAATTGCAGTGAATCTTTTATAGATAATATTCTTACACACCATGTAATTAGATTTGATGTGAAAGATTTCAAAATATTAGTTCGTAATCATTATCGTGTTGCAGTAAAATATTTGAAATTATGTGCATCTGCTGCGAATTCTCATACAAAAAACATCTACCCACCACTGGAAACCTATCAACATTTTCTACTATATTTATTAAAAAATAATGATATTGAAAATTTTATAGAATTGATTGAAATGTATAAAAGTTCACCATCAAAAATTCAATTAGGTCAACGTTGTACTGAATTTTTTTTAGACTATGAGTTTGAGACTCTATTGGAAAAACCACATCTTTTCATTCCTATTTTACATCTAGATAAAGTTACTGAACACTTAACAAAATCTGAATTTGAGATGGTTTTTAAGAATATGTTTCCAAACAACATAGAAGAGTTTGATTTCAAAAATCTTTACGACTATTTAAAGTACATCCCACAAGACCAGAAGTTATCACTAATGTTGACAACTTTTGAAGAAGTTTACAAAGTAAATTTACTGGATTGTGATAATAAAATAACACCAGATGTATTGATGGCACTTCCATCTTCTGAACGAATTAAGCAAGCAAGAAAGAAACTTGAGACTGATAAGAATTGGTCCACTGTTGGTGACAAAATTGAAAACTCTTGGGTGTGTTATTTGCCAGTTGAAGAATCTATTCCTATTATAAAAAAACAAATTTTCAAAACTCCTAGTGATTGGCGAAAAATTGAGCTACTTAAGCAAATGATATACACTTGTAAAGTCAATAACGATACAAATACTTTACTTGACGTATTGAAATATGCCACAACTCAACATAAAAATGAAGGTTGGTCTTTATTGGATTTTCTGAAAAGATTACCAGTTGACTTTGAAATGCAATATTTGCCTCAAGAACACTGGGAAGTGTTGAATGAATTTATAGGTCTTTACCATCGCCAAGGAAAAATATATGTCACTGAACGAGAATTTCAAGATATTGTCATTTGGGGAATTCACCATGATTTAATAAATAATTTGCCAATAAACGCAAAAATTGACATCGTGACTGAAGGGAATATTAATGGACGTATTACAAGATGGAATTTGTTCAAAGAAACACCAGAATTTGAAAAAATATGCATTGAAAAATTCATGGAATCAATATCCAGAGTGTATCTAGAAATTCATGATAATTCTACATGGTCTTGGCCAAATATAATACATTCTTTCATAGAAGCAATTTATGACTTTAACAAACGTAACTCTTATAGTGAGATGGAAAACGTATATGTTAAAAGTAATCCATTGTTTTCAAATGAAGTCCAAAAGTTGGTCAGTGGTCAGACTCAGAACCATAAATATTTTCCAACGATTAAACAAATAAAACAATTATTGAAAATTCATGAACCAGATCTCTACTATCTTTGGGTTGAAGAATATAAACCATCTGGATTTGTAATAACTGAACCTTTAGCACGAACTGAAATTGCCTTCGAAGATTACTTAAATCATTGGGAAGAATATTATGAGTACTGTAAAAATCATATCGATCAAAAAAATATCCAGTGTATGATACATATTAGTCGATGGTATCAAGATCTACCGATTAAATTTCTTGATAGATGCCTAAAAGATATTATTGATAACGAAGATTGCAATGCAGTCAAAATTTTGGCTTTACTTGTTGAGGGACCAGTTTTTGAAGAATTCATTAAATCTCAAACTGCTAACCTTACTTATGTTGGTGATGATACCAAAAAACACTTGACAAAATTGGTTATAGCAGAAGCTGTAAAATATACATATACTCTACCATCTGAGGAGTTTATTGCCCAACTTTTCGAAGAAAATGACTATGAAACTATTCACAAATGTCTCATTAAAATAGGAACAAAAATTCCGGCTAATAGACTACTTTTATTTTGCCAACTGTTGATAAACCGATCGCCAGCGATTAGTAAATTGAGTGTCAACTTGATTCATGATGTTGCTACTACTCAACAATTCCGACAGATTATTATGGATTTATGGAGAGCACGAAAAGATCGATTTATTGATTTTTACTTGATCAAAAATATACTAGAAGCTTTTATCGATAAGCCATGTACTGAAACTTGGGAAATGATTAAGGAATGTTTGACTAGTCTAAAAGTTGATGATCAACGTGCTCTTAAGTATATCAATTCATTTGACAGAATTCCCAACGAATATGTTGCTGATTATATCAAATTAATATTGATTGTTTTTAAACAAATTGGAGATTCTGTAAATAGTTTTGGACCTGAAGGAGTTTGGTTTAATACTAATAATATTCTTCAAAATCTTCCTAGCCATTTATCAGAATTTTTCCCAGAAGAGCTACATGAAGAAATTTTAAAGACATATCTAGCTGATTTGTCTTTACCAAAAGATGTATTGTTTGCTGCACAGAAATATCTTATTAATTTTTATATTTTGCCAGCGAAAGATAAATTGGATTCTAGATTAAAGTTCTTTTTAGAATTATTTGTGAAAATATTACATAGCGAGCAAGAAATCTATGATCCTGACAGCTTCACTCCTTCGTATCCTGTACATGATTTTTTGCAAGGATTAATAAGCAATACAATACCTATTCCTCATAGCTCAGTCAAGATTAAACTAATTAACGGTATTCTTGACACGTTTCTCTTAATATTGGAGCCTCAAGCAGCACCTGAATTTTATTGCAAATTCATTCTTGCTTCTCTTCATGATGACGAAACTTCTCCAAAAGACTTTGGTTGGAAAATAAGTCAAATTATTCCTGACTTAATTGATAGTTCGGTTGTATCTGTTTATATAATAGCACGATCATTGTTTGATCTTTATTATTGTTTTTATATAAACTTGGAAGCTGAAGGACAACTGGATATCGTTGAGAGTCTTTTAGAATCCAATCATGATAACAACACTTTATTAGCAGCTAATTTTTTGTTGTGGCAATATTTCGAAATGAAAAATTTATCACGATTATGGAAAATAGTACAATTGTTAAGAAACCATCAAAATGTTGCTGTAGTTTCATGTGCTAATTTGATACTTAGTGGATTTAAATATTAAGTTAACTATAGATAGCTATTAAATTACATTTAAAAACAAAAAAAAAATATTCTTAATCAAATGGTTACTAATTTTATGTAAATAAAATGTAAGTTTTCTCTGACTTATTTAATTGATATAAATTTGATTAATAATTGATAAAAAAAAACAATACTTCTCATCAAAGAGACTTTTCAAAGTTTATTAAATATTTTAAAATAATATAAATGGCATAATGAAAGATGTTTACAAATACTTAGTACATAATAAACTAAAAAAAAAAAATTAACATAGATGTAAAATTGATCTGTAAATTATTCATTCAAAACTGTAATAATAAATTAATGAAATTAGATTTTATTTTTAAAAATCTTGTCACTACGTGATGATAAATATATTGTATATTTTTTAAGTTCAATTTTAGAAGAAGAAAAATACCGAGTTGAGTTATGAGATAAAATATTTAATGCAGATAAAATGTATTTGGCGCGAGTAACGACGGTTATTCTTGATTATTTACATCCGCACAAACACAGAAAAATCTATATCAATGCACAGATGATTGCCGGTTGAACAAAACATGTATATCTCTGTACATATGTATATAGTTTTCGTTCAACGATTCACCTTCGGCAAACTTCGGATTAGTAGAGTAGAAGGAAAGACTCTGATGTTATTGTGTGAAAAATAAGCTGATTGCATGTACGAAAGTATTTTGTATTTTCTATTTATTTCAATAATATAAAACCCCAAGGTGTCCATTTCAACCAAATGACATTCAAAGTTAACTCATGTAAGTAAAGTACAAATCACCAAATTATAATAACATTAATGAGTATGAATATTATATTTACACTAAGTTATATACGAATGGATTTTTTGAATGTTTGAAATCATATGAAATAAATTTAAAATGAAAATAGAAGAATGAACGAAAATAATAAATAACACAATTAAACAGTATACGAATAATTTTTGTAATTATTGTAAATTCATTATTTCTAGTTGAAACCTACTCTGTATGAGTAAACAAGTACAAGGTCACACTGACGTTTTCAATCTATACTCGACGACATTGCGTGCTGAGTGTGATAATGGAGTTCTTGTCATATCTTCAAGCGATTCAAAAAATTGCAGGAGAAAGTGCTGGGAAAAAGTATCAAACATTGAATTGTTTGGCAAGAAAAATTATTGCAGATTCTGAGGATTTGAATTCAATAGAAGTTCATCCATCTGAAAGTCTTCCTGATCCTCTTATACCTTTGGTGAAATTGGAGATTGCACGAGTTTTAAAGAAACCAGAAGGAATTGTTGATGCTCTCAAGTCAGAAGATCAATTAGTCTTTGAACGAGCACTTAAAGTAAAATGGTTCTTTAATGGCAGCATTGAAAATTATCCAAATTTTCATCACTTCCAGAGCCATATTTTCTCTTATATATCTCTTAACCATCGAATTAAAATAATTAAAGTTTTAGCTAATAGTTTAGCACCTAACCAACCAAAAATTGCTGAAGAATTTTATCTAAATATATGTGAAACGTATGGTCATATTCAAGCTTATCCACTTTTAAAAGCTTGTCGTGAATCATTTATCTGGGATAACATAGTTAAACGTCAACTTGTACTTAAACTTAAAGAAGTTATTTATTTATTCCTGAAGTATCCAGATCTTATTTTGAAATATTTAAAACTTGGAATATCTAATCATGATCCTTATAAAAGGAATCTGCATGTAATCTCACTTAATGAGTATAATCAATTTTTTCCAATGCTTTTGAAAAAGTATTCTCGAAATTTAGTTGAATTAATTTTAGCAGAAAACAGTACTTTTTATATTCAATTAAATAATCATCATACTGATTTATTTTTAAGAAGTGAAGTAGATGAACTTATAAAGAATCCTAAATTATTCTTACCAATGCTATCGTTGAAAACAATAACTAGAAAATTATCTAGAGCACAATTTGAAGAAATTTTTCAAAGATTATTTCCTCAAAATATGAATGAGTTCAATTTTAGCCATTACTTTCATTATTTAGAGTTTATACCAGAAAGTCAAAGAATGACACTTTTGCAAGATACTTTCAAAAAAGTCTACAATAAAAATCTTCTTGAATGTCATAATTTAATAGTCCATGAAATGCTAACACATCTACCTCCAAAAGATAGAGTTAGACTAGCTAGATGTCAACTAGAGACTGACAAAGATTGGTATCTCAATTTGACAGAACAATCCTGGAGATGTTACTTACCGATTGAAGAATCAATTCCTATCATAAAAGATGAGATTTCAAAGAGACAAGACACTGATGATAGAGCAGCTCTTCTAAAGCAACTTTTTTATACATGTAAAGTTAATAATGATAATGATGCCTTACTTGAGGTTTTAAAATATTTTACTACTCGGCACAAAAATGAACAATCCTGGATTTTGAATCAAATGCTTGTAACTTTATTAACTAATTTTCAATTACAATATCTAACCGTTGATCATTGGAATCTAATATTTAATTTTGTTAAACTTTTACACATCAGGAACCAATTAAACAATGATATACTTACTGCTCTTCGAGTATTAGCAGCTGGAATTCATTTTGATTTACTTAACAATCAATCTGCTACAGAAAAACTTCTTCTGTATACAGAACTTAATCTATTAAAGTGCTCATACAGTCCTAACTGGAATATTATTCAAGAAACTCCTACTTATGAAAGACAATGCCTGGATGAATTCGCCAAAGTCATTCCTGAGATATGTTCTAAAATTAAGAACGAAAAATTACACTCTTGGTCAAGAATTGTCAAAGACTTTACAGAAGCGATATATAATTTCAACGAGAGAAATAGTAAAACTACAGATAAACTAACCAATTTTTCTATAAAACATTACTCGTGGCTTCACGATAGTATTGAGAAGTTAATTAATGATAAATCAGAAGAAAAAAGATATTATTCAAATAATCTTCGAGTTCTCTTAAAAACCCATGAACAACATCTTTACAATATTTGGATTCCTAATGATGAAAAGCCATTTGAGGTTTCATTTAATGAAGCTTTAGCTTTCTTGAAAAATGATCCAAAAAAAATCCTTGATTATTATCAAATTTATTACAAGCGATTTTGTAGTAAAGTTTATGCAAGAAGTGGTCAACGATTTTTAAAAAATAGTCGTTGGTGTCAAGATATTCCAGTAAAGTTTGTTAAGATGAGTATCAACAATATTATGGGAAATAGAGGTAACGAATCATTGCTAATTTTGTCTGTACTTCTAGAAGGATCAATGTTTGAGAAATTTATTACTCCATATACACCAAAAAGTTCTGTAGTCAATATTGAAGGTGATAATCCTAGAAAAAACTTCATGTTCGAGTTTTCTATTCCAAAATCTCTCAACCTGGTCAATCCACCTGTATCATTAGACTTGATTTTACGATTTTGTGAAGGAGATTATATACATGTAATTCTAAATTGTTTGGTGAATGTGGGACGACGAGTACCAGTTGATAAACTTATACCCTTTTGCCACGAATTGATGAATCGTAAAGTGTCTGTTAAAAAACATGGCATCAGATTGTTTCGGCTGGTCGAAAGTACTAATCAACTACGAAATACACTTATGAGTTTGTGGAGGAAAGAAGAGCATAGATCAATTCGTCTGTTAATAGTGGAAACAATAGTGGATACTGTCAATAAAGAACCATGCTTAGAAACTATGTTAATGATTAACGAGTGCCTTGATAGCTTGACAGTTAATGATGCAGATGTTTTGCCTATTATTACCAACATCGATAAAATTCCTGATGAATACGTTGTGGATTATTTTAAGAAACTATTAGTCGTTATTAGAAAAATTGGAGATTATGAGGATGATTTTGGGTCCCGAGGTGTTTGGAATTATATTCAAAAGTTGCTTGGAAACCTTCCAGTCAATGTTGCAGTTTTATTCCCTGAAGAGCTTCATGAAGAAATACTGAAAACTTATTTTATTGATATGTCTCTTCCTAAGCTAGTACTAGCAGCAGCTCAAAACTATCTCATTATTTGTTATATTAAACCAGCAAGAGATAAGCTAGATTCTAGATTGAAAATCTTTTCGAGTTTGTTTGAAAAAATCCTCAAAGATCATCTAAATACTTTTAGTGATGATAAAAAGTGTCCAGGATATTATTTTATTACTAATTTAATGAATACTATTGTTTATAATATAAATTATAGTCCAAGTGAAAAAAAATTTATCCAAACTGCACTTAATGTATTTCGTTCAACTTCAAAGCCACAATGGGCTGCTGAATTTTATTGTAAATTAATTTTTATGACTTTGTATGATCATCATATTCCTCCAAAAGAGTTTGCAGCCAAGGTTATTCAAATTCTGCCATCCTTGGTGGACATTTTTTCTGTTGGCTTTGTATCAAAAATAGGATATTTTTTAAATGAGCTCATAAAACATTTTTATTTTGGAAGTAATGATGATGCTATATTAGATATAATTGAGTATCTGCTTCAAGTCAAAAATGAACATGCTATTTTTCTAGGAGTATCTCTGTTATTATGTGATGGCAAACCATGCTCTGAACGATTCTGGTATCTTTTAAAATCCCTTCGACAACACAAACATCCACTAGTTGTTACAAGCGCATGTATGTCTATCAATAAATATAATTCTTAAATTTAAAATTCTTCAAACTTTGAGCTATAACACTCAAGTAAATTACAAGATTAATTATCAATTGTTATCATTTTATATTTATGTATTTTGTATACTGTATGGTTTTGAAATATAAATATTTTTTTCCAATTCTTAGTTTTTTATTTTATTTTTATTTCATAAAAGAAATTAGGTTTATAAAGTAACATAAAAATTATCATCAAAATTCGAGGTGTCAGTTATTAGAAATACCTTAATTAAACTTTAAAAGATTTTAAATGTTAAAAATAAAAATGATATAATTAGATATATGCTTTATTTGTTAATAAATGGTTCAATGATTCACTTGGAATTTTTATATCTATACTAGAACGTAAAATCAAATAAGAATGTCAGTTCGAACAGCCAAGGTCAATGTCTAAATTACTATTGAACGGAGCAGGCTCAAACGTGTTGAAACGACATCACAAATACATTCGTGCTCATATAGGTATTCAAAACGAAATGATTCAGTATTGGAATACCACCAAAGTTATATACATGTATATCGTATCGAACACCATGGCACAAGTGGCAGATGAATGTACAGTGGGGATAAAGAAGTGCGTTTTAGGTGATTCAACCATCGAATTAGAAATTTTGACTATTACTAAAATGTACAGTGTATATAATCTGTTTTTTTAAGAGGATAAAAATACTTGCAGTTATTCAACATTATTTCTCGTGTTTATAATTTGTTAAATAAATGAAAATTCTTCACAAAAAAGAATAAGAAAAAAAAAATTTGATTTAATATTATTAAAAATTAGTGTCATTGAAAAAAGTATTTAAATTTATGTTGAAAAACCAAAAAAGCTAACAATATTAAGTGAAAATTGGTAAGAAAAAAATAAAAATAAATGATTTTGGATTAACAATTAAGTTTTTTTAAAACATTATGTAATTGGACATATTTTTTTGTATAGTGTCACAGTTATTCAAGGTTATCTTTATCAGTCATAGTCATCAATTCATCAGTGATCATGTTATCACCATATATAACAGCTATTCAAAAAGTGAAAGGACGAACATCGGGAGAAAAATTTCAAACGTTACATCAAATTGCAAAAAACATTATTGAGAATGGTAAATGGGTCAACGGCATGTATGAAGTTGAACCATCTGAAGAACTTCCAGAGCCTCTGATACCTCTGGTAAAGGTTGAAATCGCACTGCTTATACAACAACCTACAGGAATTATTGATGCTCTAAAGTCAGAGGATGAAACCGTTTTTAATCGTGCTTTGAAAGCAAAATGGTTTTTCGATGGCAGTGTTAAAAATTATCCTGATCCTGTACATTTTCGAGACGAGATTTGTCCTGTTATATCTGTTCAACATAGACTGAAAATCATCAAAGTCTTGGCTAATAATCTAGGAGTTAAAAAACTAACATCAACTGCTGAAGAATTTTATAATATAATAAGTAAATCATATGGAAATTTTCAAGCTCGACGTCTTTTAAAAATTTGCAGCGAACCTTTTATAACGAATGTTATCAAAAATCAACAAATCACACTTTCTTTGGGTGAAGTTAATTATTTATTTTCAAGATATCCGAACATGATTATAGAATATCTAAAGATTAAAAAAAATAAAAACCCACTTCTTTATCCATGTGGAACATTTGTAGAGGATTACATAAAATTTTTACCAAGATTATTGAAAAAACATTCTCATGAATTCGTTGAAATAATTCGAATACATGGTTACCTAAGCCTACCATTAAAATCTCATCATCACATTGAACTCTTCTTGAAGAAAGAATTGGATGCCCTCATCAAAGATCCTAGGTTATTTCTACCTATGTTACCAACGAAGGAAGTAATTAAGAGATTAACTCCACAACAAATTGCGGAGGTGGCGAAAGTATTTTTTCCAAAAGCAATAGAAAATTTTAATTTTGATGTATTATATAAAGAGATTTTGATGTATGTTCCTCAAGATCAACAAATGCCTATCATAATGTCATGCTTTGAAGATGTATATAAAAAAAGTTTATTAAACTGCCCTAATCAAATTTCAGCACAGGCAATGAGACTACTACCAACTGAAGAAAGAATCAAGCAAGCAAGAAAAAAAATAGAAATTGATAATCAGTGGTATATTTTCAGCTCTGGGTGGTATACAACGCGTTCCTGGAGATGTTATTTACCCATTGAAGAATCTATTCCTCTTATAAAAGAAAAAATTAAAGAGGTTGAGGATGCAGGAGAGAGAGTAAGCTTACTAACACAATTAATTTACACATGTAGGATTAATGATGATAATGATGCTTTACTTGATGTATTGAAATATATCGTTGCTCGTCATAGAAATGAAAGAGGATGGGTATGGAAAACAATATTTGATCGATTAGAACTGGACTTTCAATTGCAATTATTACCATCAGAACATTGGGATATTTTATATGATATTATATTGAATAATGTAGATAACCCAACAAGTGATTATGAGACTATTTTTGAATTTTGGAACATGATTAAATATAGAATACACTTTGATTTAATTCATAATCAACCTATCAGTGATAAAATAAAATTAATGATTCGTATTAGCTCAAAAAATACAGGGTTCGATAAATGGAATCTTATTGAAGAGGTACCTGAATATGAGAAAAAATGTTTAGAAGAATTTATTACATTAGTACCCATAGAATTATCTGAAGAAAAACAGAATCATTCGTACATATGGAAGACTGTAACTTTGGAGTTGGTAAGAGCAATTTATAATTTTAATGAACGTCATTGTAAAAAAACTGAGGATCAATCTCAAAAATTGCGGGTGAAAAATTATCCCTCGTTAGTTGATGCTATTAAAAATATATTTAATGAATTAAATCAACCAAGTAATGAGTACTATATCGAAGAATTAAAATTAGTATTAGAACCAAATGAACCAGAAATACTGAGTGAAATACAACCTGTTCCAAGTAAAAAAGTATCTGTAATAAATTTAGAAAAAGCTGTGGCTATTTTACATCGTCAACCTGAAAGAATTCTTAAAAATTGGGAAAAGTATTACAGAAAATGTAAAAAATTGTGCTATCAAAATTACACCATACGGTTTTTACGAGCTTGTCGATGGTACCAGGACATACCAGTCAAATTTATAGAACAGGCTATTGAAGAATTTCATAATGAAAAGGCTGAGGAAGCATTGATGATTGCAGCAGCTATTTTAGATGGACCATCATTCGAACAGTTCATTACTCCCTATTTGCCAGTGATTGATCCAAATAATCAAACGTTCCTCGACAAAGAAGATCCTGTATTATCGACAATTCAAGAATGCTTAAAGCATCTTAATCCACCAATATCATTGGATTTTGTTTTAAAATTCTGTAAACCTGATTACATTCATTGTATTCTTGAATATGTATTATGTTTGAGAGGATGTGCACCAGTTCATAAACTTCTACCATTTTGTGACAAATTGACGAACCAAGCTGTATCAGTACGAAAACATATTACAAGACTTCTACGAATAACTGCGAGTGATGAGCAATTATGCACTCGTCTCATATCACTTTGGAGAAGAGAGACACATAAATCTGTTCGTCTAATTATCGCACTTCATATCTTCAATTGTTTTATAGAATATCCGAGTCCAAAGTCGTGGAAAAATATGAGTGAGTGTTTTGATGATTTGAAAGCTGTTGAAAGAAATATTTTAGAAGTTCTTCTAAGAAAAATTACAAAAGTTTCTAACGGGTACATAATGGATTACATTAAAAAATTATTATATACTTTTGAACGAATTGGAGATCATGAAAAAAGTATGTACCCATATGGTGTTGGGCATTATATATTGAATCTATTTCGCATAATAATGAATAATATAGCATATTCATTTCCTGAAGAACTTCATAGAGAATTATTAGAGAAATATCTGGTAAATACAACATTTCCTAAAGAAATTTTGACAGTTGCACGAAATTATCTTATTGTAGTTTACATTGAATCAGCTGGAGATAAATTAGATGATAGATTAGAATTTTTCTCAGATATATTTACTCGTATTGTTAAGGATAAATGGGATGTACCTGCTAATGAAATCGTAAGTTTTTGCCCTGCAAACTATTTTGTACATCAATTAACTCAAGACATAGTATATCAAATGAAGTACAGCTCAACGAAGAGTAAACTTATTGATACTGCACTCAAAACTTTTCTCACTTTACTACAACCCCAGCAAGAACCAGAATTCTACTGTACCTTCAGTTTTGCTGCATTATATAGTGATAAAATGCCATGGGAAGAATTTACTTCGAAAATTCATCAACTTCTGCCATCAATGGTGAAAATTTTCTCAACAGAATTCATATATTGTATTGCACGCTTTTTACATAAAATAATAAAACAATTTTATGATGAAGAAATACAATTAGATATTGTTGAACAATTGGTGAATTTTAATGATAATAATGCTAATAGTTTAGCAGCTGCTTTATTGTTGATGAAATGTCATCCTAATAATGATGAACGTTTCTGGAGAATTTTTAGGGCTTTGCGAAAACATAGAAATCCTTTGATGACTTCTAGTGCATATTTGGCTGTTCATTCCATCGTGGATTATGCATCATAAATATTTTTTGAGTATTTTTTTCTGAGTGTAATTAGTATTAATCAATTATATCTCTTTCTGAACACATTTGTTTTCTATAAAAACAATTAATGAGATTAAATATATTAAATGTATTTATATTAAAACTATTTAATACAATATATATTTTTGAATGTAAAATAAATACGTAATAGATGATTAAAGTTTTTATAATTATTATTTAATATTATTGATTATAAAAAATTTTTTTTTGTCAAAATAGAATTATTCTAAAGGCTACTTAATAAAGAGAAAATATATTTTTGATGAACATGTTATAGTAAATATGTATGAATTTTCAAAAAAATTTTTTGGAAATCGAATAACTAACACTTGTTTACTTGGATACAAATAATTTTGAATATTATCACGAAATAATATATTAGAATATCAAGTCCTACACAAATAAATTGAATAGAAAAAGTAAATGTCCAAGAAGTTCAAGTTATTATTGGTCGAAATATTTTCATCAACTAATTAAATTTGAACACAATGTAGATTCATTACACGCACAAATAAAATACCTTTGACGATACTTGTTTGTCAGATTGAAGTATGAAATTCATCGTTAAGACATTTAACTGAAAGTATTTAGACGTGTCAAATATAATATAATTGTACAAAATGAATATTTTAGAAGACAAAGATTACTGCATGTTATTATTACTGAATAATTATTTAATGTGCAAATGTATTTTTTTTAAATGAGTTTAATTAACATCTAACTACAGTGAGAACTCATTAACATTTACAACTCAGATGGAAAAATTTTAAAAAGGAACGAAATTTTTTTTAACGGTAGGAAATATAATAAGTAATTAAATCTAATTTCATGTAATGAAATTACTTTTTTCAAACTTATTTTTTAATCAATTATTTATTTTTATTAGGTGCTGTCAAGAGTTTTTTTTTAATATTATTTTATTTATTCTACCTGAGTGCCTGATGTGGAAATGGATCGTTCGCCATATCTTCAAGCTCTTGAAAGAATACCTGGCTCAACATCCTCCGAAAAATACCAGGCATTATATGGAATTGCTCAACGACAAATTCGAGAATGGAAAAATAATGAAACTCCAATTGAAGTCTATCCATCTGCAGAGCTTCCAGAACCTCTGGTACCTCGGGTAAAGTTAGAAATTGGTCTGATCTTGAAACGACCTGATGACGTCATTGCTGGTCTTAAATCAAATAATCAAGAAATATTTTTTCGGGCTGTAAATGTGAAACGGTTTTTCAAAATGGTTGGAACTAAAGGTTATCCAAATGCTAAATATTTTAAAGAATTTATTTTCCCTTTTATATCACTCCGTAATCGAAAGAAAATAATCAAAACTTTAGTGACTAGGTTGACAAATCCAAGAATAGTTGAATCATTTTTTGAGGTAATTACTGAACTCTATGGATTTCATCAAGCTCGACCCTTTTTAAAGAAATGTGGATATGAATTTATACGCAAGTGTTTTGACAAATATGAAATAAGGCTCTCTTTAAGAGAAATAAAATACTTTTATTTCAAATATCCATCATTGATATTAGAATATTTGGACTTGCAAAAGAAAGAGGATTCTAAGTATGAAAGTAATTCATACTATATTTTAAAAACAAAAGAAAACATACAAACATTTTTACCAAGACTTTTAAAAAAACATTCTACTTACTTTTCTAAACTAATTCAAAAATATGATGATTTAAAAATTTCATTGAACAGCTATGAAACATTTTTATTTTTAAAACAAGAACGATTAGAACTTTTTAATAATCCTCATCTATATCTTCCAATATTATCATTGAAAAATGTTACTTCTTTGCTACCAAGAAATCAATTGAAGATGTTGATTCGGAAGTTTTTTCCTGAGAACCCTAGAGATTTCAAATTTATGGACGTGTGTACTCTTCTAAAATTTTTGCCACCATTGGAAAAATTACCATTTATTCTAGAAATCTTTAGAGACATTTATGATCGCGAATTAACGGATTTTCAACATTGTGTCATATCAGCAATAGAATATTTTCCAGTTCAAGAACGCCATATACATGCAGCAAGACTAATGGGTCATAATCAAAACCGAATAGTTCAGGGTGGAATGGATGAAGAAAAACCATGGAGATGTTATTTACCAATTACAGAATCATTTATTTGGATAATAAGGGATATAGAGGCATGTGAGTCACATAGTAAAAGGGCACTTCTTTTTCAAGAACTTATTTTCTCGTGTGCAATGAATGAGGACTTTAGAGCTGTGCTTGATGTTTTGCGGTTCATATTAAATCGTTACAATAACATGGACAAATGGATAATGATAAAAATATTTGATCAAATAACAAAAGGATTTGATATTCAATCATACATCGAATTATATTGGCAAAATTTATATGAGTTTATATCAAGAGTAAATTTAAGAATGGGTACGAACGAAAGTATAGAAAATATTCGGAATATTGTTACTTGGGTGATTCAAATAGACTTGGAACATAATCGCGATATAACTGAAAAAATAATTATTTTAACTGAAGTCAATGAAAAGAATAATGTGAAACCGGTCTGGAATATTTGCAAACATAATGCCTCTTTTGAAAAAAAATGTCTTGAAAGATTTATAAAAGCAATATTCTCAGTCTACACTTTACACCGCCATCGTAATACAAAAGTGTGGAAAAATGCTATTGTCAGTTTTGTATCAGCTATGTACGACTTCAAACATCGTCATGAAAAAGAAAGTGATATCTTCGAACTACTGCCAAACAGGAATCATATGAGAGAATTGAAAAATAATATTGAACAATTGTTGCGAAATTATTTTAGTAAAATAGAAAAGTTCGATTGTAGAGAGTTGATAAATTTATTAAAAAAGAATAAGTCAGTAATCTTAGAAACATTTTCAAAGCAAGCAGATTTATACAATATTCCTTGTGCAATTATTACTTTGAAGAAGGATGTTAATTCAATATTTAGTAAATGGAGGATGTACTACAACGTATGTAAAAAAAATATTGCTAAAAGATCAAGTAAAATATTTCTAGAACGTATTAAATGGTTTCAGAAACTACCACGTCTATTTGTTTGTAAGTGCTTTAAAGAAATGAGTGTAGGTCGTGATAAAAGAACAATGAAAATGCTAGCCATTTTCCTCGAAGACTCAGTATGTCATGACATTTTTAAGCCATTTTTTACATCAAAACTAGCCGAGAATTATATATTAGCCTCAAGAATTATAGAAGCTATGAAATATATGAATGTGCCTTTCTGTATGGTAGAAATAATAACACTTTATGAATCTAAGTGTAAGCCAATCATAGCAGAATATTTCACAACTATAGAAAGACGAGTACCAGTTCATAAACTGATAGCTTTTACAAAACCTTTGGTCTCAAGCTCTAATTCTATATTAAAATATATCATTAGAATTTTTGAAAATGCTGCTAGTTCTCACGATTTTCAAAGCTTGCTGTGGATAAATAATAAATGGAAAGGTGATAGTAAGTATGTAGAAACTCGTATACATATTTTTAAAAACATTCATCATGGTTTTATTACAAAACCTTCGGATAGCAAATGGAGAATGATGCAACTACTTTTAAATAATTTGGATCAAAATGACCAAGCTGATATAATTAACATTATCACATGTTACACGGGAATTGATGTTCGATACATTGGATTTTATATAGAAAATCTTTTGAGTAATTCTTTAAGGATGAAAGAACAATTAAATGTCTCTGAAAGTCTACCTGAAAGATACTCTGTTTCTTCCATACTCAATAGTCTTTCAACAAGTATAACACATATATTTTCAGAAAAATTACATGTACGGTTGTTGAAGAATTACTTAACTAATACAAATCTTAAGAAAGTAAGAAAAATTTCAATACATTATTTTATCCAAAATTATATTATGCCACCAGATGATAATCTGCTAAATAATAGATTGCAAAGTTTTTCTCAACTATTCGAAGAAATGCTTACTTATTATTCGATTGGAGCTGATAACGTTGACGAAGTTTCTAATTTTGTTTATGTGAATAAATTTTTGCATGAATTTAAAAATTATCTGATGTTTGAAATGCCATTGAGTGAAAGAAGGGAGATACTTATCAAATTAATTTTTGAAAGTTTTTTGAAAATACTGACACCTTTCCACGACATAGAATTTTATTGCTATTTACGATTATTAAAGTTGTTTGATGGTCAAACTTCTCCTAGACAATTCGCAGATAAGATTGATCAAATTTTATTGATAATAATAGACAATTTTTCAGCTTCAGTTATAAATGAATTTTCTTATTATTTATATGACTTTGTAAAATTCTTTTATTCTGACAAAAGCTCCCAACTTGAAATTGTTGAACGTCTTGAAGAACACAGAAAAGAAAATAATACTCTGGTAGCATCACTTTTGTTGTCGAAGATAATTGCAGCTGATAAGAAGATTTATGAAAGATATAGACGAGTTTAGGTATCATAATATGCTAATAGTAAAAATATGTAGAATTTATTTTATTTCGTATTGAAATATTTTTTTCATATAATCTTTCCTATATTATATTCTTATAATGTTTCAAATCAATTAATTCTATCGCTCTATTATTGATATAAATATGTATATCGTTTACAAAAAAACTCATTGTAAGCATACTGTTTATTCGAATTTGTATCGATAATGAAGAAATAAATATCTACATTTTCCTGATCAAATCCAGGCTGAAAGTATTTCTATTAATATTGAATGGTTTGTAGTTGTGTTCATATAAATAAATAACGATATTATATAGTTATAGAATAATATAATCAAGAATGACCGTTAAATTGATATTACAGTTTGGTAAATTTGTAGAGAGGTGTTTTGAATGACGTTGATGAAAGGTAGTGGGAAAATACGAAGAGTGATGGAAAACCAACGTTGGAAATATTGTTTTCGAATGAAATCGGTAGAATTAGATAGCTTTCAAGATTTAGAAGAAAATAGTGGGGTTTTTTCGTACGCTTAACTAGCAAAACATTTTAATATTCGCAATGAAGTAATTAAATATTATCTGTATCTGGGACGAGATTTTTAACAATCGATATTTATTTAATCTAATTTTAACATTTGACATAATAAATTTGATGACAATAATTGATTTATTGGTAAGTACAAATGATTTTCAATTATCATACATTTTTTATCTTAATAAATTTTATTGAAGTGATTTTTATTATACAATTATTGCTAATAATTATTTTCAATTAATTAAATTAAATAAACTCTGCTAAAGTGGTATGATCTCTTCTTAGGTATTTTATAAGGCTAGTCCTTTTATTTATCAACAATGGAATTTTCACCATATTTAAGTACCGTTCAGTCGATAGAAGGACAAACACCTGGAGATAAATATCGAACTTTGAATAATATTGCAAGAAATATAGCAGCAACATACCGAGATGTGAGTAAACCGATTAGAATTTTTCCATCTGATAGGCTTCCAAGAGCGTTGATACCCTTTGTGACATTAGAGGTTGCAGATATATTAAGAAAACCTGAAGAAATAGCTGATGCTCTTCTATCAGAAGATATTCAAATATTCAATCGAGCACTTAAGATAAAATGGTTTTTTACTAGTAATATTCCGAATTATTCGGACGTTCATTTTTTTGTAAACCGACTTTTTCCGAAGATATGTCTAATAAATCGTCTCAAAATCATCAGAGCTTTAGGCAAATATCTACGTCCACATCCAGATTTAGCTCGAACCTTTTACAGTTCAATAGCTTTACAATATGGATATGATATTGCTCGACCATTATTACTAGTTTGTGATGAATTCTTCTTGAAGAATAAAATGACAGTGTACCGAATCGTATTGAATTTGGGTGAAATTAAATATCTTTACTATAAATATCCAAACTTAATGTTAACATATTTGAAACAATCAGTTCGGGAAAATAATTCTAAAAGAATGCTCTATGAAATTTATATAGACAATTATAAAGAATTTTTACCATTGATTGTGAAAAAACATCCTAGAGATTTTGTCAAATTGATCCAAAGATCTTGCTCCATGGGTATCAAATTGAGTAGTGAAAAAACTAAATTATTGTTGAAAGTTGAAATAGATTCAATTATTAATGATCCAGCATTATTTCTACCTATGCTAACTGTAAAAGATGTCCTTCAACAATTAAAACTTCCACACTACAAATTAATTGTACAAAATTTGTTTAGAACATGTCTGGCAGATCTAGATTTTGAAAGGATGAAAGAATGTTTCCAATATATTCCTACAGAATACAGAGCATCATTGATTACTTCAACTTTCATTGAAAAATATGGAGATAATTGGGTGGAAAACTTCAGGTGTGAAAACATATCACCTACGGTATTGAGAGTATTTTCTGGTGATGTCCGAACTAAATTAGCTAAGAAGAAATTAGAAGTAGACAATAACTGGTATACTGATGATAATAAAAATATTGAATTTTCTTGGAGATGTTACCTACCAATTGAAGAATCAATTCCTCTTATTAAAGAAAAAATTTTAAAGACTAGTAGTGTAGCTATTAAACTAAATCTGATGAGACAAATGCTCTTGACATGTTATATTAATGACGATTCACAGGCTCTACGAAGCACATTAACTTATATTACAACTGAATATACATACAGTAGAACTTCCTATACTGCAGAAGAAGAATCAGAATTAATGGATATATTGTTATCATCAGTTACTCAGAAGTTACAACCTTTACAGAAAGAGCATTGGGATGTAATATATGATTACATGAAGTATTTGAAAAAGTCAAAAGGTACCATAGCTAATAAAGATAGTGCCAAAAGCATTTTAATTGAGAACATTCGGTTTAATTTGATAAATAATTACCCTATTAGAAAAAAAATAAATATGCTGACTGAAATTTATCGAGACAAGCCAGAATTATTAGATTGGAATATTGTTAAAAATAATCCCAGACATGAAAAAATATGCTTTACAGAATTTTCTAAATCAATACCTAAGATATTTTATGAAGATCAGCGAGACAGTACATATCGATGGCGTAAATTATGTATTAATTTTATGAAAACAATTTACAAGTATAATGATCGTTATTATATAAAAACCAACATAGTTAAAAGAAAGCTATCTATTAAAAAAATCCCATGGTTGTTGGAGACTGTCAAAAAATTAATAAATCTATTTTACAGAGGAATAAAAATAGGAAATCTTACGGCAATTGATCTTGCTGAACTTGATGATTTATTAAGATGCAATGAACCAAATTTATTACCTCTTGAAAGTGTCCAAGCATATACAAAAAGAATAAAATTTTTCCAATGGACTGAGCTGCAATATCTTTTTAATCCAAATCCCAAATTTCGTAATTATAAAGAAAATTATGATGACTGTATAAAAAATATCGGAAGAAAAGGTACCCGAACATTTTTGAAATTTTGTCGCTGGCATCAAGATATACCAATAAAATTTGTTGAATTGGCTTTAGAAGATTTGAACAGAACAGAAAAAAATTATAAAGCACTAATAGTATTGAGTATCCTAATTGAAGGAGCAGAATTTGAAAGATTTATCACACCTCTTATTCCAAATTCAATGAGAATCACTAGTAGGACTTTTTTAACAATAACTGTAAAAACTATGCAATATGTCAATCCTATGGTGTCTACAAATGTATTGAAGAAACTTTGTGAAACTAACATCGACAACATCATCATAAACTGTTTATTAATTGCGACAACACGGGTAAGAGCTTATAGATTGATACCTTTTTGTCAAGAATTAAATCAACAATATATTTATCTTTTACGACATCCCATGAATACATTACGAATTGTGATCAAGCTTGATGAAATTTTACCTATTTTAAAAAACTATTGGGAAGAATCAAAACGGGATTTTGATGATGATGATTTTGATGAAATAAATAAACGTTTTCAATTAATTAAAACCATGTTGATACTTTTTGATACAAGACCATGCCCAGAAACGTGGGCATTGCTAGATGAATGGCTAGATGATTTAAATTCGAAGGATGATCATCATATCTTAAAGTTATTAGCTATATATCGTGAAGTTCCTTATCCTTGGTTGGGACACTATCTGAAAAAAGTCATTTTTACTATCAGAAAACTTGAAATACAATCTGGCATGAAAGGAGATTGGGCCAGTTGGTTTGAAATTGCTCCACTATTTGATAATCTTCCTCTGGATGCAGCTGTATTATTAGAAGAGAATGTTCATGAATTTGTAATCTCACTATACTGGGATATTGCACGAAGTAATAAAAAATTATTAATCATGATGACACGATATGTGATGAATTCATATTTTTCATCAGCAGACCATACGAACATAGAGCACAGAATAAGTTTTATTGTAACAATGTTTGAACGAACTTTAGTAAATTATCAACTTCTACGAAAATCTAAAAATAAACTGTGGGATTGCACTATTGAAGATTTCCTTGACGAATTCGCACAAATTTTATTCTTCGATACAGAGTACAGTTTGACGAAACAACGACTTATTGAAGAACTGTTCAATCGTTTTTTGATATCGTTTCAAGCTCTAGATCATCCTTCATTTTATTGTTATTGCTACTTGTATGGTTTTTATGATCCAAAAACAACTGTAATTAAATATATTAATAGAATTTATAATATTTTACCAATCCTGTATGGAACTTTTGTGGGTCACAGCATTATCCCTTTAACTAAGTTTCTTCATAGATTGATGAAACATTTTTATGGGCATCAAATACAGGACGCGATTCTATATCTTATATTTATGAATGATAAGAATGCTAAATTTTTAGCAGCATCTTTATTTGTAATTGACAGAAGACAGATAAGCCCCAAAAAATTCTGGTTGATTCATAATTTACTGATATTTGATAACGATCCTTTTGTTAGTGCAAAGGCTCATGCTGCACTTTGCATGCTCAGTCCAGAAGAACGTTTATTTTTACGGCTTAATTATCCATTCGCGCATTAATATTTCATTAATAATAATTAATTCAAGCAAAACTTTTAATATGAAAAACGTTTTCATAAGTATTTCAATTTTATATCACATTTGTAAATTTTAAATAAAAATCATTTTGAGTGAAAGAAGTTGTTGAATGTTCACCTCTATTATAACCTTATTTTCATTTAATAAGTGTTAATAATGTTTTTATTTTTAATATAAGTTGAATATAAATTTAAAAATAAATTCTTTTACAACTTACGCAACGCATATAGGAGATATCCATGGATAAACAGTAAGTAAATGTATCCTCATTTTTGAAAAATTTATCGGAGCTAAATCAAATTATTTCATCAATAAAAAATACATAAATAGATGACAAATTTTCAGCACACAAAAACTAAAAAAATCTTTCTATATTTAATGTTAATCTTTGAAACAAATTTTAAATAATCAGTTCTGTTTACACTTGAATAGTTGTGATGCAATACTCGAAATAACAATAGACGCGCAAAAGCTCCGTTTTGCGAAACAAGTTCCTAACGCAGATGGCAGCAGTGGACTATTCGAGTGATCGATGGAGGGGGGGGGGACAATTTGACGTCAGCCATTATTAAAAATATTGGAGCATTGCTTGACTCGAAAATATTATTTGCAATCATTAACGTTTTTAATTGATTTAATATTTTAATGAAAGTATTAATTACTATGTCATAGAAATTGACGGTTAGATACACTATAAGATTCTATAAAAATTAATTTTAAAAATGCAGTGATAAAAAGGATGTACAATCAAATTAAATTGATTCGTTTTGCAAATCTGAAACGATGTAAAGTTAAATCGTAATTCATTTATTATTCTAAATTAACCTCAATCATTGAGGTGCAATGTTGTCAATAAATATTGCGACAAAGATTATTGTAGTAGAAATGAGTATCAGAAATTCTTTCAATGAAAGTATTTCAAGATTAATATTCAGTTAGTATTTTATATAAGGTAAATTTATTGTTTAAAAATGAATTTTTTTTATCAAAAACTTTGATTTTTATTTTTTTTCTTTGATCTAGATAAATATGAAAGATCATAAACTGCTGAATAAAATTTCTTCATATTTTCAATCGACCCAAGTAGTCGCTGGAAAAACTTCAAGTAAGAAATATAAAACATTGAACTGTCTGACAAAAAAGATGATCGAAGAATGTAACGATTTGAAATCAATTAAAGTTGAACAATCTGAAGAACTACCAGAACATATTGGTACCTCCGATAAAATTAGACAGTATTACAAATCATCGAAATGCTAAGTTTTTTCAAGAAAATATTTTTCCTTTTATATCACTCTGTAATCGAGCTAAACTTATTTGAGCATTAGTTGAAATTTAACTCTTGATAAATCAATGATTGCTAAATCATTTTACTTAACTTTTAGTGAAATGTATGGAAGATACAAAGCTCAGCCATTTTTTAAAGCTTGTAGTGAATCATTTACATTAGATTCTCTCACAAAACGTTAACTTGTGTTCAATATCGATAAAATTAAACACTTTTTCTAAAATATCCAAGATTAATAATAATATAAACACACACGATTATGTTGTAAACATATTTCATCCACAAATACCGATTAGAGTTATGATGTAAAGTGTTAACATAACAATTAAATATTCACCGATGAAAAATAAGTAGCTGATAAGCAATCAGACATCTACAGTGATTAATAATCAATTCACTCTCATGAAATTTTATTATTTCAATATTTTTAAATTCATAAACACCTGTTTCTGCACACGTTCAGATAAATACTGATAAAAATTATTTTGTTCTGAATTTATATTTCATCATATGATATATTTATTATTTTATTAATATAAACAATTTATGAGAACAATAAATAAAATTTGTTGCTGAACAAACAATTATTTCTTGACATATTTTTAATAGTGTTATGACTAAAAATTTTGAAACATAATCAATTTATTTTGTTCAAAATAAAAAAATAATAAATAAATATTTAATGAATATATTTATAATACTTACATGATGGATCGAATCCAGTGATAAATTCGGGACATGGTGCTAATGCTGTTTTCCCTGCAGGAGTGTTAGGCCAACAAGTCCATCCATCGAAAAGTCCACGACAATACGGTTCTAAAAAGGAAAATTTTTGTTACATTAACGTGAAATATTCACCATCTTAAAAGCTAATCCAACAATTTTAGCGTAATTGAATATCACCAAAAAATACTAGAAAATTGAGATCTAACGAATATGTGGTTGACGTCATGAATACCACGAATGAGAAAGTTCTATGGCCTGGATTTGAGGTTGAATCTTCATTCAATTTATCAGAGTAAACGAATTGGAGCAGAATATTCTTCTATTTCATTCTTAAAATTATTTCCATGTTATCATCTATTTAGTATTTAAATTGATTAAAAAATTGTTTAATGTTGACCAAAGGAAAAATAATTCTACATTGAAATTATAATTCATTGTCGTAAACGAGTGAAATGGTGTGTATTTTAATAAGTTGTCAAGAACGAAGGAAAATTATTTGTTTACCAAAGAGAAACAAAATTAAAAACAGAGGGATACTTTTTCTTTCAGTTTAACAAGATATAAAATGAATGACTTGAAAATGCGGAAAAGTTTTATAGTTGCAATATTTTATCTAAAGTTTTGCATCACTGAATTACGAAAAGGTACTTATATTCACAGGATATTTCATGGTTAAAAGCATAAAACGCTAGAAATACCAAAACGAATCACCTGAAGTCGGTAGCTCCAAGGCACAATATTCTGCAATATTCCTATGAACGTTTTAACCAAGTCAGTTTCAAGAATTTCGTTTTGTTGAATAACTTGTTAAAACGAAAAAGGAGAGACCTTCTTTGTGCTTGATGTGCTGCAGGCAGAACTTTTCTACAATCTTCAGAGCTTCCTATTCTCGGTTTTCTATAGTCGTGTCGATATAGAGGAAGTGCGGAGATTAAGTTGAAGAAAATAAAACCAAAAGCAGATTCTCATATCACAGCTTATGCGCAGTATCCTTTGGCAATAATTTGCATTGCTTATACGGTTCACTAGAATTTATGTTATGTTGTATTGAGCATACTGAGATTATAGTTTAGATTCAATACTGTTTTGTAATCGGCTGACGGGAATTTCGGGATGTGATAGACAAGCATTTTGAAAGGGCTATCAAAAGGATAGGATTAATCAAAGCTTGTACATGTATCTATTACTATCAAATAGGATTATTCATAATCGCATTTTCGTCAGAGATTTCATTCTCATTTTTCTCACCATGTTGGTGAAAATTTCTATCTTTTATTTTATTTCTCACTTCGTTATGAAAATTATAATTATTTTCAAGACCTTATGATAGCCTTGAATTATATGAAGAGTGATTGAATAACTGAAGAAATTTCTTAGAGTCATTGATCCTCAGAGAAACTACTATAAAATCACTTACTACTGCATAAAAGAGAATTTATGAGATCACTTTTTTCCAGAACCTTCAGAGTCCACTCTTATTCCTGCAAGAGAATTAAACTGTAGATAGTTCGTATTTTCTAGTTTATCGCCTCACTTTGTTAGGTTTTATTTAAATGTTTATTGCCATTTGTTGGGTATAAACATTCATAGAATATTTAAAAAGGTGGGAATTCAATCTATGGAGAATTTAAAATGTGAAGAACTTAAAAGTGGAGTGCAAAGTGAGTCATATTTTTTTTTACAATCGACTCCGGAAATAAAATTTAAATTAAATTTGCTTGCAATGAAGTCTTTTTCTCTAAGACATTCATAAGATTTTTATACATAAGAAAATATTAAATTTCAGATTTTATTGAAAAAAGATGAATTTCTACGAAATTACCATCATTCAGATGCTTCGGAGTCATGGTATAAATTATCAAAGACAAGAATATTCAGTAGCATTAACTTCTTGTTTTATAATGACATGATTTAAAAATGTTTTGATAAGATTATCTAACAAATTTGTTATTTAAATAAAAATTTAATTAAAAAGCTTTCGATTAGGAATCGTTGGATTATCATTTAGCTTTTGTTACACATGAATTGTCAATTGAATTAATATCAATAAATGTTTATGACTCTCTACTTGAACTGATCAATGAAATAAATATCTAAATAACCGTAAAAATGATAAATAAATATTGTTTATCACTGAAAATTGAAATTACCAACATGAATGTTTAATTAAAAGTAACAGATTACTCTATTAAATAAGTGATTGAAAATAATTTAGTCAATAAATACAACTGTTCATACATCTTGCACATATTCTATACGATCACTTTCATACAAAGAACTTTTTTAAATGTCTATGAAAAAATATTTGCTTACATCCATTAAATAAATTGAAAATTCACTTGAATTGAAAAAGAGAATGCAGAGATTTAAATTTTATCATGTATATTACCTTGTAAATTTTAAATTGAATTTTCAGGAGATGATCACAGCTATTTATTTATCGTGAGAGCACATCAACTGAGCTTTCCAGATGTGTCAATATGTGTAACCTGAATGTAAAATACTTCAATTCGACGATGCGTAAGAGAAACTCGTCAACCACATGATTGTGGTTCTTTCTGAGAGATAAGTATTGTCTTAAATCTGTATATTTCGTTAAGTATAAATTTATATAATCAAGTATCAAACAGATATCAATTTTCCTTACTATGTTAACTCCAATCTCCATCATCATACTTTCCTTTCGTAATAACAATAAACATCAAATTTGGAAGAAATAACATTAACTGTCCAATTTCAACTACTTAATCTCCAAAGCCACAGAAACTTTTTTCTTGGTGATAAAAAATATTCCACTTGTAGCTTTGTTAATGCTTTCATTTCCGTTAAACGGATGAAAATAGAATTGGAATGAAAATATCTTTGGAATTAAAATTGATATAAATTCAGTTTTAATAATTGCTTATAAAGTACTATTGAATTATGTTATGGTTTAACACAATATCAATTGAATACTATTTATTTAAACTTATTATATTCTGGTTCTATGCATTCAATTTGTTTCAATGTTCCAGAACGATTTATGTTTCGTTTTTTACTTAAATCAGCTTATTATTATAAAATAAATGAATAATAGCATATTGTCTTTATATGCTATTATATCAATATTAATTAATCATTATCAATAATATCAATTAAATTTAAATTAATATTTTGAATAATTCTATATTTTATTTAATTATATTAGCAATTGACATTAATATTATACTTTAATTTAATGATGAATATTTATAAATTTATAAATATTGATGATTACTTTAATAAAATTTTGAATAAATTAATTTGTAAAAGAATGAAATTTTATTTAAATAAGAATATTCATAAAAAAGATTTTAAGTTTATTATTATTCATACTGTTGGATTTTTTAATTACATTTTCAAAGGGGAATATTTTTAAAATAACTATGTGGTTTTAATTTTTATGAAGAATTTTAAAATAATTGACATATTATTTCATTTAAATGAATGTGTAAAAAGATAACAATTTATAAAAAAATATTTTTAGGTCAGCTGCACGAAAGTAGTTAAATTATAAATAATGACATATTTTTTTCAAAAATTTAATAAAATAAATAAATCAATAAATGCAATCAAATTTCGTTTTTAAAGAAATTATCAGCAATAAACGATTTGTGATTTTTATTTTTGCCTTTTCATACAACCTTCCTGTTTTTATTATGATAAAACGACATTTCAAATATTATTTTGAATTTTTTTCAATTTAAAAAAAGCAAGATAAAATTGAAAATTAAATAAAGTATGTAAACACTTGAATGCACAAATTGAACAGACTTTCAACAGAACCTGGAGTTTCAATTTCAATACTGAAACTGACGGTTGATGTTAAACCACTAAAGCAAAGTTTTATAGAAATTTCAATACTTTTTGACACTTTAGAAAATTAAAATGAGGTTGCCAATACTAATTTTTTTCACCCTGTGGACATTAAGTGACGCGTACCGTATTCTCGGAGTCTTTCCACGTAATTCCCCTGGTCATTTTATGGTTTTCGAGCAGTTGATGAAGAGTCTTGCTGATCGGGGACATCATGTTGATGTCGTTAGTGCCTTCCCACAAGCTAAGATTTATTCCAATTACTACGACGTTGTAGAACTTCCACATTCAACTCCTTCACTTACTAATAACTTAACTTACGGCCAAATTATTTCTCAAGTGCATTCCGTGTTGGATTTAATTGAGACTGAGTATGGCAATGATGTTTGCCACATTTTAGGAGATCCTAACTTGCAGAAGATTCTCAAAAATCCACCTAAAGATCATCCTTATGATGTTGTAGTCACTGAGGTATGTAACAAGATTATTCAATCCTTTTTCTTTTATATTTTTTTTTCAATATTATCATCAGTCCACACATAATTTTAAATGATTCTAAACTCATTAAGAAATTATTGTGATGACATTGATAGTTTTAATTTCCACAAAAATGATTCAATGCCAATAAAAGATAATTTCTAATTATGGGATTATAATTTATAATACTCTTTGTTTATTGTTATACCATTTTGTAGAATGACAAAATTAATTAGAATCCCATGTTTAAATGAAAAGCATATAGTATTTTTATCTATACATCTAATCTAAATCTGTTTTTAATTCTGAATGTTTCTTGACTAAATTTAGTTTGTATTTTTGAATTTTAATTAATGTTATTTCAAGCAGGACACTCTTATCTCGTTCACCAGAATATCATTTAACTCGAAGAAATGTTATTTGAAATAATAATATCCTTATCTCGGTACAAGAACAGAATAAGTGTCTTTGATAACACAATATAATGAAAATATAATAATAATAACAACGATGGTCATGATTAGTTTTTCCAAAAATATAAATATTTATTTATAGTCTCACAATAAAACACTGCTCACTAGAGTTAGGAATAGGTCTAACATATTACTGGTTGACCAGAAAGCTTTTAAAACGTAATGTAATCACTTTTATTACATTTTAGGAATCAGATATTATATTAATATCAAAAATAATTATGTATATATGTTTAGCTGAATGAACAATGCTTCTGATAACATTTTGCAAAGTTCCAAGTTTATTCACAAACCAGAATATTAAATACAATTCTATTAAATGTCATAGAAATGTCTGTTTAACTTTCACTGCTCTCTGTTTTACAAGCAAATATTTACATTTGCATTAGTTCTGTCAAAAAGAATAGTCTGATAAACTTTCAAAAACTTTATTCAGCATTTATTTGGGTTTTGATGTAAATTATTTTATAAAAAATACTCATGAAATTTTACGAACCAACACATTGAATCTCAAAAAAATTTCTAATGTTTTGTCTGTCAACCATCTAGGTTTTTATAGCTAACTGTTTTATTGCAATTGGAGACGTGCTAAATGTTCCTGTTGTTGGTGTCAGCACATATGGTCGTCTACCTTGGATCTACGACATGATGTCAAATCCTAATGGTTTTGACCTTGTCCCTGGAGTGTCTGGATCGAACCATATAAGTTTTTGGCATCGTTTAACAAAGATGCTTAGTAACTACTATCAAAAGACGAGTTTTTATGAGTCCACTAAGCCTCAGAATGACATTTTGAAGAAATATCTTGAAAAAAAAGCTCTAGATGTCAGAGAACTTGAGTCTAAGCTTGCTTTAGTACTTACAAACGCACACACCACAACTCATGGAGTTCGTGCCACTACACCTGCACTTGTGGAAGTTGGAGGAATGCATATTGTTGAGAAAAACATCCCTCCACTTTATTATGTAAGCATTATCGTTAATTCTAATTATGGAGTCTTCATAAAAGCACAGAATTTTTCAAACTTCTTTTTTTTTCGCTTTCTTATAACAGGATATTAAAGAATGGCTTGATAAAAGTACCAATGGTGTAGTCTACTTTAATCTTGGAACAGCTTTTATACTTGAAAGCCTTCCTGAAGAAAAGATCAACGCTCTCTATAAATCACTGAAAAAACTTGCACCAATAAAAGTCTTAATGAGACAATCTAAGTTCAATGATTTACCTTCTGGTCTTCCTGAGAATGTACTCGTTGTACCGCATGTTCAACAATTCCGAGTTTTACGTAAGTCATCTCATTACACCACGTTAATCGATTTTTCATTGATCAATAATCAAATTTTATTTTATCTTATCTTACTTTAGAACATCCTAACGTTAAAGCATTCATTACTCATGGAGGACTGTTGGGAATTCAAGAAGCTATTTATACTTCTGTACCTGTAGTGGGAATTCCTCTGTGGGGTGATCAATTTGATAATATTGAATTTTGTGTTAAAAAGGGTCTAGGAGTTAAGGTCGAGATTGAACATTTAACCGAGAAAACTCTTGATTCTGCATTTCATCAAGTTCTCAATAATTCAACTTTCAAGTATGTTTTATCTTCTATTTCATTTTAATTTCAAATTATTTCACAATTGATCATCATTAGTATTTCATAATAGATAATAATAAGATTCATCATACAAAAATGACAGTAATAACCATTTTGCGGAATAATTTTTAATAATAAAATTAATTTATTATTACCAACATTGTTAAAAATTAATTAAATGAGAATTATAACAAAATTGTTTAAAATTTTGTATTTTATTCATTTCAGAAAAGCAGCAGTAGAATATTCGAATCTCGTTGTAGACCGTCCAGTTGCACCGAGTGATATTGCTTGTTATTGGATTGAATACATTGCAAGACACGGAAGCAAGATCCTCACGCCAACTGAGGATATCACGTGGTGGCAATTGAACAACATCGATATATACATTATATTATCCCTTCTATTATTGACAATAATGGTCACTGTCATATTAATCGTCCGTAAAGTAATAGCTAAAGTAGTATCAAAATTTACTCGCAAGCCAAAATCACAAAAACTTCTTTAACTACTTATTTATAATTTTTTGTAATTATTAGATACTTAAGTACTTTTTTATTATTAACCATAAGTGTGAAAATCATATCAAAGAATTTTATATCATATAATGTTTATAAGTGTGATATCATAATCTTTTGTTTTTCCAAATATCATTCATTTATTAAAAAACATTTATTGTAACAAAACAAGAATCAATAATAAATAGTCATTGTAAGTGTAATTGATGTCATAAGATTATCTTGGACATGCAATGTATTGCTCTTATTTATGATGACTAGCAAATCGGAGGGGATGATAAATGTGAGGAAAGTCGTCATTTGTGCTATGCTGTAACAGAATCGTATTGCTAACAGTGCAGTGTAATAAAAAATTGCGCATCCATTAATTCAACTCAAGTGGTGCAAATGTACTCAGATCATAAAAATCAAGAAATAAATTTTTTAAAATCACCTGTTAGGATAAATTCAAAGTGTCCTAGAACTTAATTTTGTCAGAACTTTTCCAATATGAGACTCATAAGTTTATTTTCAATTTTTTTATTAATTATTTTAACGAGCTTAGAGCTACCAAAATGTCAGGGTAGCAGAATTTTAGGGATTTTTCCTCTAAACGGCCGCAGTCATATGGTCATGTTTGAAGCTTTAATGAAGGGATTAGCTCGTCGTGGTCACCAGGTTGACGTAGTCAGTACATTTCCTCAAAAAAGACCCTTTCCAAACTATACAGACATTGTTATACCTGCTGCTTTGCCAAAACTTGTCAATAATATGTCATACCAGTTCTTGGAATCTGTGTCTACAAAAAGTATGGTGCATTTTGTAGCTACAAGCGCTGGTAATTTAGTTTGTGAAAAAGGATTGGAAACTCCTGAGTTGCAAAAACTTATTAAAAATCCACCTCAGCAGCCACCTTATGATCTTGTTCTTACAGAGGTAAGAAAAATTGTGAAATTTTAATTTAACGTCCAATAGAAAAATTAACTACATCTGAATACTTGCTTTAATTAATCAATAAAAAGTACTTTGCAACTGAGATATTTAAAAAAAATTTTTTTATAAAAAAAAAATGATCGGACAGAGTATAAAGGAATAAAAAAAATATAAGTATCGATTAATTTTACTTCATAGACGTTAATCACTATATTATTAGCACTCATTAACACGAGATTAGATTATATTTGTTTAATAGTTCATAGTTAGTCTTTAAAAAAAATTCTAAATAATTATTTTTAATTAATCTCGAAATTACTCATATTGTTTTAAATATACTACTATTATTTAAAAATAATTTGACCTGTTTAAAACATACATTTGGTATTTAAATAATTATTTGATAGATTCTCACATTCATTGTAAAAATCACGTGTAATGAGGTCAATTATAACGTATCACGACGCAACATACCATGATGAAACCAATACACTCACAGCTCATCTATGTATTCAAATTATTTTTAATGAATTAATCAATTATAATTATCGAAATTCATAAATCACGGTCATACACGATTACCAAAATGTAGTTATTAAGTCAATACTATCAATTATCAACTTGTCACTTTAAATTCATGAACTGATGATAATAATTGAGCTCTCAATATTTCATTCCAATTCAGATATTTGGTGCTCACTGTTTTATGGCATTTGGTCGCCACTTAAATGTCCCGGTAATAGGGTTGAGTTCCTCAGCTCTTTATCCTTGGGGAAATGAGATGATAGCTAACCCTCCGAACCTTGCTTTTATTCCTAATAATATGCTTCCGTTTATGGAAAACATGAGTTTTTGGGATAGACTATATAATGTTGTTCACCATTATTGGTCTGTTATCACTTTTAACTACTATGCATCACCTCAAGATGAGATAGTAAAAAGACACTTTGGATCCAATATGCCAGGAGTTAGACAACTGCAACACGAGTTGGCACTTATTCTCGCCAATTCCCATATGTCCCTGAATGGTGTGAAACCAACCACTCCAGCTCTTGTTGAAGTTGGTGGGCTCCATATTCAGAACGACGATCCAGAGATCCCAGCTGTGCGTAGTTTTTTTTTTTTTTACTCTAACCGATAAAGTTATCAATATTTTAAGATAAAATGGAAGTTATTGAATTTATAATAAATATGGATAAAAAGTTGAATGAAGAAATTACTAAAGTGAGAAGAACAATAGAATTTTTTTTTTTACTTATTTAACTGGTTTAAACATAGGATCATAAAAAGTGGCTCGATGAAAGCACTGATGGTTTCATCTACTTTACTTTCGGATCAATGGTAATGATAGAAACTTTTCCTAAATCTTATCTGGACATTCTCTACAAATCACTTGGAAAGATTGCTCCAGTTAGAGTATTTATGAAAGTTCCACATCCTGAGTTATTACCTCCTGGTCTTCCTAAAAATATTAGGACTTTTTCATGGATGCCACAGTTAAAAGTTTTACGTAAGTAAGAGTTCGAATCAACAGATATACTTAGAAATTGATATATTTATTTTTTATTATTTTATTTGATGAGTATTAACTAACACCTTTGATATCAAATTTTATATCATAATTTATATTTAGTTAAAATATTATTTTGTTGAATTGGAAAAAATGCAATTAAACTAACACATTCTTTCCTTTTTCATTCATCGACAATAAGTTTGAAAAATTGAATAAAAAATAATATTTTTCTCATTTAGTAAAAAACTTTAATTCAATTTAAATTTGATCGAAATTTAGAGATGTGAAAAATTTCATCTAATCAGTTGAAACAAAAAAAACTAATTTTCATTTAATGGCCTGACAGAGCACAAAAATATTCGAGCATTTATCACTCATGGAGGATTAATGGGTACTCAAGAAGCAATTTACACTGCAGTTCCTATGATAGGAATGCCCTTATTTGCTGATCAATTTTTAAACATCGATGTTTATGTACAAAAAAAAATTGCAGTACGTTTAGACTATGAAGGTTTAACGGAGGAAAAATTTGATGCAGCTCTTCACGAAATCCTTACCAATCCTCTCTACAGGTAAATATTAAACAGTTAAAATAATGAATGAAAATATAAGTAAAATTTGCTAGCTGATTTGCACGAGTATCTCATAAATAATTTCTTATTGTAGGGACACGATAAAGGTATTCTCCAACAGGTTCTTAGATAGACCATTGAGCCCTATAGATACAGCTTGCTACTGGGTTGAATATGTTATCAGACACGGTAATAAGGCACTTAGGTCTCCAGCGCTCGATTTTTCTTGGTGGCAAGTGGCACTTCTTGACGTTTATGTTACGCTGCTAATAGCTGCTACTTTAGCAGCATTTATTGCAATAATTCTCATGCAATTTTTATTACATCGTCTATTCAATCGATCTAGTTTACCTTATAGCAAGAAAATCAACTAGATCATTTTCATTTAGCCAGCTTAAACAATTTTATTTATTAAATAGCGTCCAGAAAATTGCCCAATTTTGAAAGAAATTATTTTTAAAATTAGTAAGGATTTGTTGAAAAGCTTTCTAATAATTATTTAGCTCAAAAAAGTTTATCAAGTGGACGTTAATGACTGGACGTCAGTAGATAAATCAATTATTTAATTTAATTTATTTTTTAATTAAATTAATTTCCATGTATTAGCAAATATAAAAAATAACTAGACATAATAAATTTAATTGAACCAATTCTACCAGGTGAAATTCATTTGAGAAGGAATAAGATCAGTTAAAAATTTCATTCAAACTATTCCTTCATGTGTGCAGTTATTTAATATAGCTCATAAAGCTCGGTAAATGCAATTCATCATCACGAGTTGGTTGTGATTATTACTGTGACAAATATAGAATCGGACCCCCTAATCGTATGCTTCAGTTTATCTATTATATTACATAAAGTTTTGTAATTGATACTTGAATTATATGTGTGTCATCACGAGATAGATAAATTGCGAGACATATGCTTCATCATTCTCAATAAAATTATTTTTTTTATTAACAATTGATAGCCCGTTAACACTATTATTTTGCATTCTTTCATATCTTCAAGATAAACTAGATCCAATACATTCAAAAATATCAATCAAAAAAATACAGGAATAAATTAATTCTTGTGTATTTTAAAAGATGAATTTTTGCATGTCTTGTTGATTACTTTGCAACAAATTATCTCAATGATGATACCAAGTTTTTCATGACACTATTCTTAATAATAAAATATCATCGTTCATTGATAAGTAATTGTAAAAAATGATAATATCATGAGTATAAGCAAATAGTTAATTATTATGACAAATGTTTAATAAGATAAACAATTTGATAAGGTTGTTTTTGAATGAATAAATAAATCAGAGTTCATCACTTTACAAGTAATCTTTTCATCCTACAACTAACCACAATAATTATATTTTTTTCTATAAACAAGAAGTCAGTCTTATAGAACCATCCTTAGCATGCAGTTGTGAGTGATCTGTCACGCTATAAGCATGCACTAACGACTAGTTAAACTTGACTACTATTATACTTTAAAAATTACTACCAAGAAAGAATGCAGTAGAGTGAAGTTAAAGCCCTTGGGGTATTTTAAATTATAATACGTAGATTACATTAGGATTGAAAATTTATTTAAATAAAAATTGTGAAAAAATATCAGCATAAAAATGTCAGTGAGTTTATTTATGCTATTTGTATGTATTTCGATATTTCCCACTGAGTCGTATCGAGTATTGGGAATATTTCCATTCCAATCGAGAAGTCACCAGATGATGTTTGATGCTATTGCTAAAGGACTTGTAAAAAGAGGTCACCAGATTGATGTTATGACAGTTTATCCACTGAAAAAACCTATTCCAAATTATCATGTTATTGTGAATTTAGAGAATATGACTGAAAGTCTTGTAAATAAATGGGATGTTAAATTTGCATCAGAGCTTGGTGATGATACCTTGCCTATCATTGCACTTCCGTTTGGTAATGGACTCTGTGAATTGTTGGGTCTTCCAGAGATGCAACAAATTATTAAGAAACCGCCTCAAGATCCACCTTATGATCTTGTTATTGTTGAGGTAAGTTGGAATTTTTTTCCAATTATTTTTGTAAATATTGAAAAGTATTATTTGAAGGAAAAAAATTAATTCTGTAGCAATTTCCTTCTGATCCATTGATTATCAATGAACGATTTTGAATAAGTGTTTCAATGAAAATAAATAATCTTGAATAAATTTGCTACTGATTGGAAATTTATGCTACAATCAACTTTGTAAAATTCAATGTAATTAAATATTTTAAATTTCTTCTGAGTGAAGTTATTTTTTAAAAAATATTTTCCATTTCTTCTAGAATGTATAGTGCAATAACGAAAAAATTGAGTAGTCTACTTTTTTATTCAATATTATTTTATGACCAAAAATGTTGAAATTGCTGCATATCATTCTAATTATTCATGGTTTATATACAATATGTATAAAAATCTTTGAAAATTGCGTATAATAAATTCGATCGTATCAAGAATAGTTACCAATAAAATGGTACAACGAGCAAAGTAATAAGGTCATAAAATACAAATAAAACTATATCTACTTAAAATCATCTGTTTACTCTTATCTATAGTAAAACAAAATTTATTATACTCGTTCTCTCCTGACAATTAAGTAGCTTTAATAAACTAGTATATAAATTCAACATTTATTTACTGATTCTAGTGAAAACTTATTAATAATAATACTCTTAAAACAAATATTTTTTCATCTAAAATGCAATTTATTTATCAAGTTTTCGTTCATAATAATTTATAATGACTTTGTTGAGCAGATTAAAATGTTTCATTTAAGAAAATACTTTATTAAAAGTTTCTATAGAAGTTCATTATGGAGATTAATTAACAAAAAAACGATCATTACTATCAGATTTCCTCATTTAATTATTCTAACAATATCGTGATTCTTCATTTTCAGTCATTTGGAGCAAATTGTTTTGTCGGTCTAGGCTATGCACTCAAGATCCCAGTAATTATGGCAAGTAGTACAATAGACTTGCCTTGGTTGGATAAATCAATTGGCCAACCAATCAACACTGCATTTTTCCCAGCTTTCTTCACAGGTCACTCTCATCCTATGTCCTTCTTTCAACGTCTCCACAACACTGTCAAGGGCCACACTAATATCTTCCGCTTCGAACGTTACACTGATGAAGTGCAAAATTCTCTAATGAGAAAATATATTAGTCCAGACATACCACCCCTACATGAGCTTGAAAAAAATATTTCATTGGCCCTGGTGAATTCTTTTCATAGTTTGAATGGAGTGAGACCACTGGTTCCTAAACTAATAGAAGTTGCAGGACTTCATGTTGAGGAACATTTTGAAGAAATGCCTCAGGTAAATATGAATAGCTTTCTATTTATTTTGGAGCATCAAGTATAGAAGTCTAAGGATCAACTAGTTTAATGAAAAACAAATAGTATTAAAAAAAAAGAATAAATGTGATAACAAAACTAATAAATGTGATTTATTACAATGTTTGATAAGCAAGAGTATATATGCTCTTACTTATTAAATTCTTTCTTATAAGAATGAGGGATAATTTTTTTATGAGTTGGAAATAAATTTTATATTAGATTAAAATGAAAGCTCTAGAAAATTGGAATACATTGAAATAAATATTAAGTTTATGTATTATTAAAAATAATTTATAATCAATCAAATATTTGTTAAAAATTAAACAAATTGATTCAATATAAACATAAATCTTTTTTATTTGATATGAACAGAATCCATTAAAGTTTTTTCTATTTTTTTTTACTATTATGACCTTTCATTTTGACGATTTTAAATAAATTCTTTTTCACTAACAAAAATATTCATATAAAAAAACTATTTTAATTAAAAACTGTTGAATATTTATAGGATCTAGAGAAATGGATGAATGAAAGTACTGCAGGAGTAATTTACTTCACTCTAGGATCTATGGTCAACATTGAAACCTTTACAAATGAAGTCATGCGAGCTTTTTATTCAGCATTCTCTAAATTAGCTCCAATAAGGGTGTTAATGAAAGTAGCTAATAAAGACAAGTTGCTACCAGGTCTTCCTAAGAATGTAAGGACCTCATCCTGGATCCCTCAAATTGCGGTTTTTGGTTAGTAAATTACTAGGTTATTTCACATTTAACTCTTATCTACAAATATCCTTAATCATTGATATTAACATTCATTTTTATAGCTCATAAAAATACCAAAGTTTTTATTACACATGGAGGTCTTATGGGTACTCAAGAAGCACTCACTTATGGAGTACCAATTGTAGGAATTCCACTTTTTGGAGATCAGTTTTCAAATATCGAGCATTATATGGCCAAGAATATGGCATTGAAGCTCGATAATAAAAATCTTACAGAAGAATCTATTTATACGACTTTGAAGGAAATTTTGAATAATCCCAAGTATAGGTAAAATAAATATCGAATTTCAATATTCAATTTATATTATTGCTAAAAACCTGATTAATTTTGAGTAAAATAATAATTACACAATAAGTGGAAACAAAAGCTTGAAAAAATAAATCAGTAAATCTAATCAGTAAATATTTCAAATCTTTTATTAATAGATACTTTAATCTGAATGTAAACAAAACATGATATTGTTATCAAATAAAATATCAAAGTATAGTTGATTCAGTATTAAAGAAGAACATCATATATTTTAGCATTTATTATTATTCCAAGATCGTAGTTGAATTAAATTCAAACTGAATTTAATCTAGGTTTTTAGCAAGTGAATATAAATATACTAGAATATTGCAATATTAATAAGAACATTTTATGAATTAGTAACTAAGAGTTATAAAATAATCAGTTGTTTATATTATCAACAGTGAAGCAGCAAAATATGAAGCAGCTCGCTTCCGAGATCGTCCATTATCTGCTATGGAAACTGCAATGTATTGGATAGAATATGCCATAAGAAATGATCCAAGTGCTTTGAAATCACCTGCTGTAGACATGCCCTGGTGGCAAGTAGCTCTGCTTGATGTCTATGGATTCTTGCTGATATGTATTATTATTTTATCTTATCTAATCTTCTTAATACTCAGAGCATGTGCAGCCGTTTTATTTTTCACATCAGCTAAGAGGCATCACAAAGTTGCATAATCATTGATAATTGAACTTGCACGACTCTTTTAATAGATATGAACGTGAATATCATTTTTATACTTGATATACAAGCTTGTAAATTTTGTATCAATAAACTAAATTTATTTTTGTTATTCTAGCGTTTGAATTTATTTTCTTAGACTCATTTCCAATTGTTTATATTACTTGGAGGATTTTATTTGACAGAAAGATAGTTAGATGATAACTAAAATATGTTGATAGAGTAGATTTCTTCAGTAACAGATTCAACTCAGTTACAAATACGGTTTGCGAATATAAGATCAAGGCAACTAAGTGCAGAGTCCATCATTTTATCCCCACTTTGCAAAACTGCAATAACTCTTCCCATATCATGCATAAGTCATATGCTCAGTTCCCGCGGAGTTTTAACATTGAAAACATCACTAATAGTGTCATGATAAATTAATTTGTCAATAAAATAAATAAATGAACTTAGCCTTTTATATTTATACCAAATTTATTTTATTAAAGAAAGTAAAGGGAGAGTAGACACGTGTAAGTGAAAAATCGTGTGGGTTCTAGTGAAAGTAGAAATCAAGATTAGAAATTATCTTCCTGGACGATCTTTGCGGTCATTATCTGAAAATGAGGTCACTAAATTGTGCGATAGCCATCATAGTGGCGATGGCATTTTATTGTCAGACATCCCAATCATTGAGAATACTTGGAGTTTTTCCCATTGCTGGTTCAAGCCATTTTATTCCAGGCGGTGAACTGATGAAAGCATTAGCACGCAAGGGACATAAAGTTGATGTTATCAGTCATTTTCCACAGAAAAAACCTATCCCTAACTATACTGATATCAGTTTAAGAGGAATAGCACCGATAGCTACAAATAACATAAGCTTTGAGAGCACCAAAAATTTTACAAGTTTTTCTATGCAACGGTTCGTTAACATGGCTGGTATTGAAGTGTGTGATCTATTATCCAAGCCTGTCTATCAGGATTTTTTAAAAAATACTCCAAAGGGAATGTATGATGTTGTCATTGTTGAGGTAATTCCTAGATTACAAAATTATCATTTTTCCTGTTGCTATAAAACATTAAATAAAGTGTCGGAAAAAATTTTCCTGTAATATATTTAAAAAAGAAATGTAAGGTACTTGGCTTCAGAGATATAAAATGGTACAGATAATTATTTTTAAACCGGTTTGAAGAGTTTTTTTGATTATTTCATAACTTGAGTGAAAGAATAATATTTTTATTTGCTATTCCAATGTTTGATCTCAACAGCTTGCAATTTGAAATCCTCTTTTTTAAAAAAAACCTCCCTTGGCTAATAATTTCTTATTATTATTAATAATTAATGATAAATTATTCATCTTTTTACTAATTAATTACATAATTTTTTTCAGATGTTCGTAAGTCATTGTTACTTAGCACTTGGTCAGCACTTAAATGCTACATTAGTTGGTCTAGTTGTGTCTAAACTCCATGATTGGCTTTATGGTCCGTTTGGAGTTCCTTTTAATACAGCTTATATACCCAGCTTGTTCTCAAGCTTCAGCCAGAAGATGACATTTTTAGAACGACTTCAGAATACATTCATGAAGACAATCATTGTTCCACAGATAAATTATTATATGGAAGGTCAAATACCTCAAGTTGAAAAATATTTTGGACGAAAATTGTCTAGTATGTCTGAGTTGTATGATGATGTTAGCCTTTTGCTTCTTAATTCACATCACAGTATTTATGATAACATACCCACGCCACCTGGAGTAGTGGAAATTGGCGGATTTCATGTGAACGATGACCAGCAAGAATTACCTTCGGTAATTATTTCATCATTTACACTTATGACACTATTATACTGATGTTTCATTGCGTATCCAAGTTCAATGTTTATTTATAGAAATATAGAAAGATATTATCATAGCAAACATTTTTTTTTTTTTACAAATAAAATTTTTTTGATGATTTAGTGAATAAGCAAAAAAAAGTGTTTTTGTATATAGTGTAGATGCATTGTAGAATTGTTATTGTATGAAAAAAGTTGTAAACTTCACATTCAAGTTCTTATAAAAAGAAGTTTAAAAAAAGTATGATTTTATTTTTCAGGAGATAAAATCCTGGTTAGATAACAGTAAGGATGGTTGTATATATTTTTCATTCGGTTCAATGGTAAGAATCGAGACATTTCCAGCACCAACACTCAAAGCATTTTACGACATGTTTGAAAGAATAGCACCGGTTCGAGTATTGTTAAAAATAGCAGATCCCACAATTTTACCTCATGGTCTGCCAAAAAATGTTATCACTTCGCCTTGGTTACCACAAAGAGCAGTATTAAGTAAGAAACAGCTATAGAAACTTATTGTTATCGCTCTAATGCTTCCAAATAAATTTTTAAACATTATTTACAAATTATTTTACAACTTCTTTTATAGAACACAAAAACATAAAACTGTTTATAACCCATGGAGGACTTATGGGAACTCAAGAAGCACTCACTCTTGGTGTTCCTATGCTGGGAATTCCTGTTTTTGGAGATCAGCACACTAATTTGGCAATGTATGCTAGGCGAAAAATTGCTATAGTTCTGAAACATGAGGACATTACTTCAGATTCACTGACTGAAGCAGTAACAACTATAATTCATAAGGATCCATCGTTCAAGTGAGATTCAATATGTTAATTCTATCATTAATCAAAAGCTTTCAAATCAAGTTTTTTTTTATTTATCATTGCGTTATGGATCAACTTATTAATTCTTTCTCATACTTCTATCCTTATGCAGTAAACAATATTTTTCAATTAAAAAATGTGATTCTATGCTAACGTAATCAGTTTCTTCAGTAAACAATTACATGATGATGAAAAATATGTTCATACTTTTCCTTGAGTACTTGCAGAATTATATTTTCTATTAAAAAAGTAAAGTTTATTATTTCTTAAATACAATTAAGCACAGTATAAATTATTTTTTCTTCTATTTAGTTTTACCACAATCTAAATATTCATTAAATTTATTCAATCGTGATAAATATTTACTTATTTTACTAATCGAATGGAATTATTCGCTAAGCTGATTCCAATAAAAAACAATATAATGTAAATTCACAACTAAACCCTCTTGTACCAGAAGATTGGAAAATAATTAATGGATTAATCTACCTATTGTTTCAGAGAGAACAGCGAAAGATTATCAAAATTATTCCTCGATCGACCAATGAGTGCAATGGACACTGCAATTTATTGGGTGGAATACGTAGCTAGACATGGATCCATACTAAAATCTCCCGCAACAGAATTATCCTGGTGGCAATACTACTTAATAGACGTTTATGGTTTCTTTTTAGCCTGTATATTAATTGCCCTTTATATCATTAAAGTGGTGATGAAATTAACATGTAGGCTTATCTGCTCTAGTAAATCTTGCGAAAAGTCTCCAAATGTCACGAAAACCAAGAAAAACAAGTGATATAAATTTTGTTTTATCTCCTAAGGTTAATGTAGATAGACTGTATAATATTTTATATGAGTGTACTCACTTTAACGTCTATTTTATTTTATTTTTAATCGTTTTCTATCATAAAATCATGTTGATGTTGATCATAACTGAGAAAATGGATATGTATCTTGAGAATTATATTTGAATGTTAAAGATGAAGACTTTAAAGTTTAGTCTGAAGCTACTGAAAGATGTTGAGAAAGTTTTATTCCTTCAGGCATTTATCAACAATCACCACAATACTGATAACTTATACAACAACCTTTATCTTATAATAATTCATCTTGTTTCTCTGCTAACTTATAATTAAGTCATTCTTCAAAAAGCAACTCCTGTAAGTGGATAATTTCAATGAAATTTCCATCATACCTCTTTACTAGTAATTAACTACTGGTTAAATTAAAAAATTAGTACTCATTATTTGTATTCAGTGATATGTAAGTTGAAGTTAGTAATTAGTAGTCGTTAATGATGAAGTAATCGAAGAGAAATTATCGTATCAATAGACTTTATATGTGATAACTTTAATCATCCCTATCACAGGTTTGGATACAAGATTAGGAGAAATTAATTTACTGTCCACCAGTATTGCTTGTTAGGCTAAACAAATTGATCAACTATCTCCTGGATAAACAGATCTCAAAGTCTGTTTAATTTCCAGAACCTAGAAATTTGTTTGAATAAGTTTCAACTCCATGAATGCCACAGCTTGGTGATTATATTTCTCCAATGAATAATGCTTTTGATATGAAATTTAATATTCAATAATTGAATTACATTTCTCTAGAATACTCTTTCTCATTTATGACTATGTTGGACCTATTAACATTCATGATTGATCAACCAATTGAATAGTTTATTAACTATAAGTAACTCAAAATAACATCTGATTGTGTGAATTTGAATTCATCATGAAGCTGAATAATTAATTTCAATTTTTGCAGTAATTGTTACTGTATTTACATGTTTATTTTCTATAATCGAATTTCTTTATTAGAAATGGATGAATAATGTTTTTTTTTTATTTGTTATGTTGTGTTGAAAGTTAATAAAAAAAAATTTTAAAAATCAAACTATTCGTAAAAATGTTCTTCATAAATAAGATAGCATCGTCCTTGTTATCGTCGTAAGAAAATTCTACAATATCATTACTACTGTTATTAAAGATTAAATTTCAAACCATCTCGAGGAAAATAGTCGTGAGAGGAAACATCGTACATGCATAAAAATAACATAAAAATGATCCACTTACCTGGTAGAGGTGTTGCGTTGGTGGCAAGAGTTTTCATGCATTCTTGAAATCGTCTTGCACTTTCAGTTCTGTTCAATCCGAATGTTGTTGTTGTATTTACCGTCATCTGAATAAAAGAAATTTATATTTATTAAAACAGTTGGAATTATGACGTAAATTAATGGAATTGAAAAATAATTTTTTTGAGGTGGAAAAATTTTATGAAGCTTCTAGAGATAAATGCTCTTTTCTATATAATTCATGAATGCTTCTTGAAAAAAAACCACTTACGAAAAATTCTGGAATTTACAGAGAAGATATAATATCATGTTTAAAGATACTTTGTCAAGGTAAAAGTAAACTACTCTTAAAAAATGAACTATATGTTTGAACTTTTTTTAACGTGTCAGAAAACAAATCAAAAACAGTATGTACTAACATTCTTTTTTTTTTTGTAAGGAAACAAAAATAGTAAGTAATAACTATTTAATTTTTTTAAAGGTAATTACTCTAATGCTTCTTCATATTTCATTTTGTGAGGATATAATTCTTTAAGCTACTTTGTAAAAATTTTTCAAAATCAAATGAGGTTCTGCTATCAAGAAATTTTAGAATAAAAATGATCAAAAGCTTTAAAATGCATAAAAAAAATTATAAAATAAGAATTAAATAGCCATAGAAATTGATTTAAAAAATGGAGCAAAGTATATAACAATTGGCTTCAATCAAATTCATATTTTTACTAGTTTTTTCAATTTTCAAGTCCCTCAAAAAATAGCTTCAAACATAAAATCCTTTTTCAAAGCATTTTTACGTAAGTGGTTGCTTTAATAGAATTACGTATATAATATGAACAGAAAAAAACTAATGGCAATGTTGTATTTCAACTTCTTTTCAATATTTTCTGTTTTTGATACAACCTTTTTATTGATGCTATTATTTCAATAGAATTATCATGATAAAATACTATTATTCCAAATTGATTTCCAATTTTGTAATGAACATTGATCAGCAAAAAATGATATTCTATTTCAATTTACATAAATCAGTAGTTTTTTATCAAATAAGAAACATTCACCATCTTTTTCAAAAAATAAACATCCATATTTAATCATTTAAAAAAAAAGATGAATAATTTTGTTGAATAAATGTTTTTTTTTTTCTATTTATGAAACTTAATAAAGAAATATCATGGAAAGAGTATTTTTGTGATTGAGCTCTTTAAATATCACAGCATTTAATGAAAACATGAAAAATATCACACCTACATCTTTCTGTTGTTACAGACTATTTTTTTATACCAAGTGCATGGTTATTTTTGCATGAAAATCTGCTTTGGAGATATTAAATGAAATTTATGACTGGATATTATTATGGTTTCTGGTTGAAACATTTATTTGCATATAAATTTTTTCAAATTAATCTACAATTGTTATCAAGTATCCAGGGTCTAATAAATTAGATTAAATAGTGTCCATATGAGCGAATATCAGTGGCTGGTAGCATATAAATTGTACTAATCATTGTGTATTCTATTAATCAATATACTTCATGAGGTTATTTGGCATGAGTGAGAATTAATCATTCGAATTAGTACAATGGCAATAGGATTACATTGATTTTGACATCTGATAATGTAATTTAGCATCAAATGTGGCGATTTTAATCTAGGACAAATGTAGTCCAGACGTTTTAACAAATGATTTTTATTAATTAAACCAAGTCAGTATGATATCTTCTAATACTAAAAAGCTATCAAAACATGATCATGTGGAAAATGGATGAAAAAAAGCAAATGAATGAAAAACTACAGAATGAATAAAAGTCTTTTTTCAATAAAATCAATATATTTTTACCGTTTTGAATAATCCCTGCACTTATTTGAATATTCAAAACACTTGAGAGCACTGAAACAAAAGAAAAAAACAAAAAAAAACAAACGTAAATAAACCAAGTTTTCACATAAAAAAATAGTATTCTTGATGCAAAAATTTCTACATATTGATTCAAACTGAATTATTTTTAAATTTATCCTACAGAAATATCTAAAAAGTGACCAATAATTGATGTTATTAATGAAATATAAAGAATTTATTTACTTAAATAATTATAAAGAGATATAGTACTTGAAACTTTTGCATCAAACTCATAGATTAAAAGTTTAAAAAGCAAGGCTATAAGATAAAATAAGAAGTAATGTGAAGAGGAGACATAACGATATTAATCAAGAGTTTCTAAATAGCAAGTTTTGCGTCTTTGGAAACTTTTCGTTCTATTCTAGTTTTAAAAGTGATTTAATCTGAAGTCTACATTCGACATAAAGTGGTTCTATTGTTACGTCCATGGCCAACAATTGTATCATAAGTTTTTATAGTAATTTTTTTTTTGACAGCAAGACATAAGATTTCTAACATATTATGATTAGTTTAGACATTGCTAAAACATCTTATTATTAATGCAAAGTATGCAAAAAGTACATTAACATCAGCATAAATCTTTTTACAATAATTTTTTGAAGTAGGCTCTTAACTTCATAAACATCGGCTTTACATTTTAATGTGATGATTTAATTTTCCAGGGAATGGTAAGTTTTTGAAGCTTCAATGTAGCATAAAATGAGCCTCCAGAAGGTAACGAATATGGAAGCTGATGTGAGCTGAGCGAGGAATAATCATCATTAATTAAATAGAGGAAGCACACAAGATAACAGTGACAGCTGTAGACTTGTCTATTATATACATATTGAGTAATTGCTCTACCATTTGATCATTCATTTTACAATTTATGTCAAATGCTGGTACTATTTACCTATTAAATAAAAATAAATTGATGTCGACTTTATCATGTTATAAAATTCTCAGGAAATTTAATATATTCCTCCTTATCATCATAAATCATTCCTTAACTCTGTTATTATTTCCTTTAATGAATAAATTAAAATACTAAACAATGAAAAAACTAACGTTTACTCTCTTCGCTTCATTAATTCATCTTTCTGTCATAGGATATTCAATTTTTTTTTTTTTTTGAGTAACATGAAATAATTTTACTGAGATTATGAATTCAGTACTGTTTAAATAATGATCGAAAAATCATTAATAATATTTTTATTGTAAGATTACTGACAAGTTTGATAATTTGCAATAATTTGCGATATTTTTTCAAAGCGAAATTTAAATTTTAAAAAGCTTCTTAATAAGAAAGAAATAAGTAAAAGGATGATTTTAACATTTTTCTTCTGAAAACAGATTTTTTTGTAGAAAAAAGTAGGATAGTTTTTTTCAATTAAGTCTGAAAGCTCACACTTTAAACTTCAAAATGATTTCTTCTTTAAAAACGTTCTATTTTTTTTTATACTATACTCTAGACTGCAACAAAATTATCTTATCAACTTTATGACTTGAGATTCTTATTTGAAAGCTACATTGGGCAACTTAATTTAAGCAGTACTAAGAAATTTTTTTAGTTCTAAAATTACCGTATTTTTGCCAAAAGTAATTAGATTTTGAGTAGCCAAAGGTACTCTAAAGCTTCTCTGATCCACTTTAGCAATAATAATCTTGTTAAAATTTTTTTTCTTATCGTCAAACCAATAAAGATGATCTCAAGAATTATTTTAAGAACAAAAATCTCTGTAAAAAGGAAATATTTTTTAAATCTAAATTTAGTATATCGAGGATTCATTTTTATCACTTGAAATTATTTAAGTACAGATTAAACAAACTTGCAAATGAAAAGTGAGAATGAAGAGATGGACATGTAACATATACTCATTACCTTGACATTAATTCGTTTAAAAATAATAATTCTTTGTATGAACTAATTAACTTGTTATGTAAAAAGAAGAGAATGATTCCTTCCATTTAAAATAATAATTTTTCTAATATTTATCATGAATGGAATTTATTTATTTCCATCATTTTAATTGTAAGCAAAATATGCTAAGATGAAAATAAGTAGAACTCATGTTCTGAGAGCTTCGTATCAGATTTTAACATTTGATATTCATGATCTTTCGATTTCTTTCTTCAATTCGTGGTAGGAAGCAACACTGGATCATTCCTGGACCATCATTGGATCAAGGAAGACTAGACTGGTCCTAGGAAGACTAGTGAAGAGCTAAGAATAGGCCAGCTTTGCTTCCTGCTAGGGTAGTAGACTGGCCTATAAGTTTTTATGATCAGTCATAATTTGAATGAACAAACAACAAAGCAATTCTATAAGTATAAATTAAGACTGTGTATTGTAAATTAATTAAATGAATGAATCATTAATTGAAAAATGTATAAAATAAACAAATAATTTTTTTAATTGATAAAAAAATTTACTGTGATTATTCAAGTTAATATTCAACTGTTGCAAATAATTGCTATTCTTGTAGTAAATTATTTTGAATTATAAGCAAAATATTAAGTCTACCTTTTTAAATTGCTACATCAAATGTTTTATTATCCTACAATTTTAAAAATGACAGAATAAATATCCAACATGCTAGAAAAATTATTGATCAATTTTTTTCCATTTGAAAATATCTCCCATAATTTATTAGACTAATTGTTCTGACCAACTCGAACTAAAAATAATAATTGAAAAACCACCATTGACTTACTGCTCCATATTTAATGGAGACACTTGTACTGCACCACATGCGTTCTAGTTTCAATGGTGCTTCATAATAACACGTAAGATAATATTCAGAATTTGTTTAATTGATTCCAATTACGTTGTAACCTACGAGTAGTTCAAGCAGTACAATTTCAAGTACCTAAAGAGACGTCTTACGTAAATGACAGAATGATGGATTTAAGAGGATGTAAAAATAACTATGATAAATGTGAAAACCACTAAAAACAAATAGAGATTTATCAAAAATAAATTCCTAATGATTAATGCTATTTAATTTAATCCCTCGATTAATTATGAAGTAATTTTGATCTGATCGACAAGAAGTCAAAGTGGTGTAAAGGCGATTAATTAATTATATCCCTTATTTACTAAAATCATTCTTCTCCTGTTTGACCTAGAATTTATTTATAAACTCATCAAAACTTTACGATTAATATTCAAGTGGACTTAAACAAGTTTGTGATTTGTTATAATAAATTATTAAAATTATTAAATACACTTGATTGTCTTTAATATCATATCAGAAGTAAATAGTAGGTCAGTCAATATCGCATGCAATAATCTAAATATTTGCTTTCTTTATATCCAACTTTATTATAATAATTCAATAAATTTAGTAAAAAAAATTTTTTTTCTACCATTGATGTTATTGTTTTTATTTTTTTTAATTCATTGAAGTGTGTAATAAATAGTATAATTAATTATTAAAATTAATATAATCTCAAGAACATATATTATGTTGTTGAAATATTCAATGTTCCATTAGTAATTATCATTAAAAAATAATGCAAATCATGAAACAAATTATGGCTATTACTTTGATTAATATTAATCATTAGTCATAATCTACAGAAATACAGTCGATGTATGATACAAATTGTTTCGGAATAATTTCTGAATTAACAAAAAAATGAAAGTAAATTAATTGAATGGTCAAAACGATAACCAGTCGAATGAATAATTCACTAAATCAAGTTCATTCCTAGGGTCTTGATTAATATCGGATATTTTTTAACCTCAATAATAACAATAGGAAAATGATTTTTAGTTGATTCATTATTAGTTGGTGGATTAATAAAGCTTTTTATGATTAATGTAAAATAGCATTGTAATAACAATAAAACACATTATGATATGTTATTTATTTTAAATTGATTTTAAATGCATCAATGATAGAATTGAGATAAAAATAATCCGTTGGAGTTGAATTTATAATGTTTAAATAAAACTTTACTTATAAAAAAAAAATTATTAGAAATAGTTGAAAGGATTCTTTACTTTGTCAAAAATCTGGATAATAATTTCAGGAATGTTGGCAACTTAATTTATGCAAAAAGTTATGAGTAAAATATCTGAGTAAAACAAAAAATTAAAGTTGATTATTGTACGACTAAGATAATTGATTATTAATAATAATAATAATATAATATTAATTCTGTCGTATATTTTAAATTTATTTATCCCCTTATGTGATCTTTATGATATTAAAATAATCTTCTGGACTTCGCATTGAACAAATCAGACTGACTATAAACTTCGAAGTAATCAAATTTATCATCTTCAAAATGACTTTAATAAGAAAGACTCCTACACAATTTGAGAGTCATAATGTAAGAAATAGCTCATTGAATGAGGAATAATAAAAAGTTTACTTTGTAAGTTAGGAAATAAAATCAAGTCTAACATCTTAACTGATATCAAATATTTAATTACCACCTCACTTGTGCCATATTCCAATTCCAGTTTCAAGGAATAAACAAGTCTACCTATTATTGTTTAATTAGGTTCCATTTTTATTGAACTTATTCATCGTATTATTTATTTTTTAAAGCATTAAAACTTTCAAAAACATTTAAATTTAAATATTAAGTTATTAAATAATATATATAAATTAAATTTGACTGAAAAATCATCAATCAATCTGTGAAAAGTTTGACAATTGATGTTTTATTCTGGTTGATAGTAATTATTTAGTATTAAACATTGTTTCAATATAGTCATAACTTTATCATTTCCATGTATAACAATGTAGTTGAAATTGATCCAATATTAATAAGTTAGCTTGAGCATAAAAAAATTAGCAGGTAAAGCACGTATTTTATGGGTTTGATGGCGTTATTAAAAATAAGAGGTGAATGATAAAGACTAGGTAGGTCATAGGAACACACGCAAGAGCACATGTCAAAAGTAACATGACGTGGCAGATGATTTATATAGGTCATAGTTGACTTTGCACCTCCTTCACATACTAGACAGAATACAGATCCATGTGAGAATCTGG